TTGAACTCAGGCTGTCAGACTTGGTACATGCTGAACCATCTCACTGATTATGGCTTTTTGTTTACTGTTTAACTAAAAAGATTTGTTACAGTGCAATAGGAAAAAAATTATTGTGTTGCACATTATAGAGAGAATGAAGGCCGATGTCCAGTGCTGAAAGTTATCTGACTTTAAACTCTTGATCAAATAAGGGCAGTAAGAACTAGTAGGAGTCTGTGTCCTTGCCTTGAGGCAGCTCATGCTATGACTAGTGGAAGGAGCATCTGTGAAAATGATTCTCAGTGAAGGATGTGAAGAATCCTGAAGACTAGCAGCTGAATGTCAGAATGGCCTCAGTTTTAAAAGTTCTGTTCTCTTAACCCCATGAATTCTATCTTTTGTTGTTTTTCTCAGTGAGTGTAGACTGGGTTTAGAAAAAGTGGTGATAGGTTACATAGGTTTTAGGCCATCCTGGGACATATAGGATGACTCCATCTCAAAGGAAAAACAAAAGGAAAAAAATTTGAGGAGGAGGAGGAGAAGAAAAGAAGAAACTGTTGTTAAAGGGGAAGGAAGTGATTCTATCCAAAAAGTTTCGTAGAAATATTGATGGTGGGACTGGAGAGAGGAGGTGGTTCATCAGTCAAAAGCACTTGTTGCTTTCAAAGACCACAGTTTGTTTGCTAGAATCCTGTCAGACAACTCACAACTGCCTTTAACTCCAGCTCCAGAGGATCTGACAAAAGAGAGGGAGACCTGTGTGCCAACCTCCTCTGGCCTCTATGTGTACATGCAAACATGCTTGTACACATATAAATGTACATTTTAAAAAAGAAGTCTTGACTTGTAATTTAAAGATGCAAAGAAAGGTATTCAAACCAAGCAAGTGGTTGTAACATGAAGATATGAGTCATCAAGCAAAATGATGATCTTTTCATTGGGCTATGAGAGATGAGAGTGATAAGGAACAAAACTGTCAGATTTAGGAGTTAAGATAAATGCTCTTGAATCTTATCTTTTCCACTTCCTACTCATAATCAGACCATGGAGATCCTTTTAAATCTAACCCATTTCATAGTTACATTAAAGGTGTGAATTTTATTTGAAACATCTGTTTGAAAATATTTTAAAATTATATTTAAACATCAAAAACAGATAACTTGGCATGGCTTAATCCTAGCACTCAGAGGTAGAGGCAAGCAGATTTCTGAGTTTGAGGCTAGCCTGGTCTCCATAGTAAGTGCCAGTCCAGCCATGGTGACATAATGACATCCTATCTCAAAAAAGAAAAGAAGGAAATATAAAGAAATAATAATAATAATAATAATAATAATAAATTAAAACATATGACTATAGGATTACTTTGTAAACCTTCTTAGAAGCGGGCATGTATAATAAAGTCCAGAAAAGGGAATAAGGAACTCAGGGATTTATTTGTCTTCAGCAGATCACATCTCCAAAGCTTAATTTCTTTACCTCTAAAATGTTAAGCTAGAATCAGATATTTTCATGATATACTTTTTTAATACAATTTTATGAATGAAACTTTACTTAAGATCCTTTGTGTAAACCAAAGCTGATTTACCTAATGGGTGTTAAGGCACTGGAAGACCCAGCTTTACTTAATTCTTCCTATAGTTCTTGGGAGATTAGTTTTGTGTGTGTGTGTGTATCAATATGTGATACAGAGATTTGTGTGAGTACAGGTGTGTGCATGTGAGATCAGAGGACAACTTAGGTGTTGATCTTCATTTTCCATTTGTTTGAGACAAAGTCCCTTAGTTGTTTCTTGTAGATACGCTAGGCCAGCTGACCTGCAAACTTCTGGATATTTTCCTTTTTCTACCTCCCAAGATCCTACTGTAGGAACAGGGGGATTACAGATTCACGACTATGTCTGGCTTTTTATGGGTTCTGGGAATTCACACTTGGGTCTTCACATTTGCTATGCAAGTGTGTTAGCTACTGAACCATCTCTTCAGACTGATTAGTTGTTTGTTTAAGATGGTGTCTCACTTCATAGCTCAAGCTGTCCTTAAACTTGAAGAGATCCTTCTGTCTCAGCTTTCCTGCCCCCCTTCCCATTTGTTGTAAGGCTTACAAGAACTCTGAACTGAATTCCTAAGGTCTTATACAAAATTAAACATTTTATGTTTCTGATATTAATAAACTGAGTAGACCTTCTTGGTAGAGTTGAGGAAGTAATTGAAGCTACTAAATGTAATAGATAGCACTGCAGAGTTGCTGTAGATGTGAGTAGGTTACAGTAAGCAGTATGAAGAGAAATTCAGGTCCTTCAAGGACTGCATTGATGGAGTTTCTGTAATTACAAAACAACACATACTGTATAGTTGAGGCAGCAAGACTTTTTTCTCTAAAAATTACTATGGAGATTAAAAAGAAAGAGAAATGTGTGTGGGGGGTTATTCATTATTTATTTATCCCCCCTCCCCGTGTATATATATGAAGACAACTTAGGTTAGCTCTTTTCTGTCATCATGTGGGTTAGAGATCAAATTTAAGTCATGAGCTTTGGTAGAAAGTACTTTTAACTGCTAAACCATCTCACAGGCCCTTATGTATGCTTTAATTCTACATGAATTAATAATTTGGGGCTGGAGAGAAGACCTGAGTTCAGTTTCCAGCACCCACATCAGCTATCTTTAACTCTAGCTATGGGGGATCTAATTTCCTATACTGGATTCTGGGCACCCATATACGTATATATGTATACACTCACATACCTAAGTAATACAGTAAATCATAAATTCAGCAGATTAAGCTTATATACTTATTTGAAAAAAATGTATGTAACAATAATAAGTAAAGAATAAGAGGTCTTGAATTTAAGGTGATAGGAAGAAGTGGGAGGGGCACATGGGGGAATTAGAGAGAATGGTAAAATGATTTAGTTGTATTTTAATTTAAAATGTTTAATTGCCATAAATACAGCATAATTAAAATAAATGTAAACTTTTTAGGAATTAAAAATACTTTTAATTTTTGGAGGGTGATAAATGGCAGTGCAATTTAAAAGGAACAGAAGGGAACAAACAGAACTGCCCTCTCTGACCTTTGCTCGTCTTCCCACTCCCATCACTTAGACCAGCTTTTACCAGACAGAACTATCATCTTTAGGTTTATGGGCAGATTAGTTTCCTGTGGCTGCTGGAGCAAATCACAAACTCAGCAGTGTAATATACACAGAAGTGAAGCTGGACGTGGTGGTGCATGCCTGTATCACAGTTACTTTGAGGGGCTGGGGCAAGATTGAAAGTTGTGATGCCAGTCTGGGTAATGGAGAAAGAAGGAACTGTCTCCCCCCCCAAAATCAGGGTTAGAGGGAAGGAAGGAGAGAGGGAGGAAGAAAAAGAGAGAAACTGATTTTGAGTTCAAGATTTGTGGACCAGAAGTTTGAAATTCCTATCTGTGGTCTACATAAGATTACCAGAGGGGACATTCTAATTCTAGTTTATAATGGATGTTGACATTCTTCAGCTTGTGACCACGTCATTTTTAATTAATCTTTTTAAAAATTAAGATATATTTCATTACATTTTGTATTCATCAAAACAATAAAGGTTTTCTAACCATCTCAAGATCTTTAACTCAATCACATTTGCGAAGACTTTGTCAGCTGGGTAGTGGTGTCACATGCCTTTGTTTCCAGCACCTGGGAGGCAGAGGCCGATGGATCTCTGAGTTCAAGGCCATCCTGGTTGTGCCGTGCCAGGGCTACACAGAGAAACCTTGTCTCAAAAAACAACAACAAAACAAAAAAGACTTTGCCATATAATATAACATTCACAGGCCCCAGGATCTTATAGGAAAGGAATAAGTAATATTTTTAGTCTACTGCAATGATAAAAACGAGTAGCAATCTACTGTATTTGTTTTTTGTTCTTAAAATAGAAAACTGGAAAAACGTCAGGATCTGTTAATTTAGGACTAGGTGAGTAAATTATGTGTGGTATATCTATCAAATGCAATCAGGTATAGTCACTAGAAAAATGAAGTGGGCATGTTGACTGGGGCTATACTTACTGTAAATTTGTATTTTAATTTAAAATTTTTAATTGCCATAAACAAGGCATAGTTAAAATAAATGTAAACTTTTTAGGAATTAAAAATACTTTTATTTCTTTTTGGAGGGAGATATATGTACACATGTGGCAGTGCAATTTGAAAGTAACAGAAGGGAACAAAGAAAAATGCCGAACAGCAAGCTACAGAGGTATATGTAAGATGAAAATGGGTTCCATTAAAGGTTAGGGCTGGAGGACTATAGTGGGGCAATCGGACCCACCAGCAATACAGATGATGACACTGAGTCTTTTTAATATTTGAAAGCTTAGGCCTTTTGATGGGCAGTCTCCCTGACCTATCCTGGCACTGTGTCCAGCCACGTGGCCAGGTCTACCTCTCTGCCCAACTCTGGTCTGTCTCTTCACCCCATAGTCTGCTCACAAATCTCCTGCACCTCTGATTTCTTCTCTCAGAGTCCCTTTCTCTGTCCAGAAGATTCACCTTCTACTTCCTGCCATCAAGTCTTTATTACAGTCAATAGACAAGAGAGGAAGGATAAATATTTACAAAATACAAGGCTGGTGATGAGCCATAGAAATAATAATACCAAGATCCAGCTAGTATTTAGCTCTCTGCTGGTACAGAATTAACAATTGAAAATAGAGAGACAAACCTTCACACAGCGTACCCCAACAGGGGATTTTTACTTTGTATGCTATACTTTTATATGTTACAGTAAATCTGCATTTTTATAGTAAATCCAAGAGAAGTGGACTTGCATTTGATTTTTCTGAATGAATTAGGTAACAGAGGTAATAGGCCAAAGCAGATGTGGTAGCTTTTGTCTATAATCCCAACACTAAAGAGGCTGCTGAAGGAGAATTGCAGTGAGTCCTAGGCTGGCCTGGGCAACAGAGCAAGATTATATTTTAGAATAAATAAAAAATTGTAATTGAGGAATGTTAAATTTTTACCTTTTTTGATTTATTTTTTAGATAACAGACCCTACATTAGCTGAAATGGGAAAAAACTTGAAAGAGGCAATGCGGATGCTAGAGACCAGCCAGAGGTGAGCACGTAGGGTAGAGGCTACCCTGTTGAGTGTGTCCAGCCTATTTTAAATCTGGTGGTTCTGGTTCCTTCCTGTTTCAGATGCCTCCCATCTCTAGGATGTCAGCTTCCATTGGCTTTAAAGCTAGGTATTGAGTGCTTTGCAATGATGGGGTTTTGACATTTTGGGAAGGACCTTTCAGTTCTGCCACTTTAGAATTTTATTTATGGAATATGTTGATTTGAATATTTAAATACTTCTTAGTATAGGTTCAGTCACATGGGGTAGCAACTGACCAAGCAGTTGGTTGAAGTGGTTTTTTTATTTTATTTTAATATATATAATTTTTTTTCCTGAAACTCTCAAGTATATCTGGGGTCTTGAGATAAAATAAATGTGTTTGAAATCTTGCACCAGTCACTGAATGTTCTAGGTAACATAATATGTTGGCATGTTCATATGTTAGAAAGTTGGTTGGTGAAAACATACAGTCAACTTTTTCTTTCTTTTAAACCAGAAGAATAGAGGAGGAAAATGGAAAGAAGCCAATATCAGAGGACATTCCAGGGCCACTTCAAGGCAGGTAGGTCGCAATAAGGATCAGTACCTTTAGTTAGGATATAAAATATTTCTTAACCCAAAATTTTACCATTATTTGCTTGCATGTTTACGTTGAATGAGTACCAAGATAATTTAAGTAGTTGCTCAGAATGTTAGAAAACTTTCTCGTTGGTGATAATGGTGAACTTACTTGCTTCTTTCTCTCCCAGAACATTGTTGGCTTGCCTTCAACTGGTGGCAATTGTCTGGACTCAACCTCTGAGTACTAGATTACAGGCATGTCCCACCATACCTGGTCCCTTCTCAGAACTATAATCCATGATCAAAAGCCATTAATGACTTCTTAATTATAACTGGGATAGCAAGCTAATTCATTCTTGAAACCGGTAATCTCTCTTGTAGACAGAGTTTTATTGTGAGAACTATTTTAATTTAGTACAGTTAATAATTTTTATAATATAGTAATTGAACAGGGCACAGTGGTATATGCCTTTAATCCCAGCACCCAGGAGACAGAGGCAGGCAGATGTCTGAGTTCAAAGCCAGCCTTGTCTCCATAGGGAGTTCCGGGACAGCTAGGGCTACATAGAGAGACCCTGTCTCAAAAAACAAAAAAACAAACAACAAAAATTAATAATACAGTAAACGAGAGGGGAAATGTCAGCTTTAAATCATTGCTGAAATGATTAATTTGTTTGCAGCTAAAGCAAGTTTATCAAGTCATTGTAGTCTGAACTAGTAGTGAAAAGAAGTAGCTGGCTGTCATTTTCATAGAGTGCTAGTAATTAAAGTCCCAGCTCAACTTCCTTGAGACAATTTTTTTATAACCAGGAAACTGTACTTAGGTCAACAGTACAACTCCCTTAAATTGTTCTTTGACCTGAAGATAAATTGCACAAGATTACAAAAGAAAAGGATTGAGGAAGTATCACACCATACAGTAAATATTATACCTAACACACCCACATACTAATGTTTTTAGTCCTTCCTGCTTGTAGCATAAATCCTGCTGGTTTGAAGTCCTGTAGTGCTTTCTACCACTCAGAATAGGAAGCAGATCCTGTTTCCTATTCCAGGTATGAAGGGACAAGGATTGTTTATTGTCTTAATTACACAAAAGTATCTCTAGACCTCCCAAAAACATCTGAAGTTTTCAGAATGGCAGCACATTAAAAACACTGTAACAGTGGCCCAGGAGTATTTATATTTAGTAATACTAACGTCTAAATATATGAGGCTAGTAAGTGCTTCATAGGCACTGTCAGATTATCTCTTCCCCATTCTATAATGCATGGGCTCAGCCACTTGGATCTCTCAAAGACACAAGGATAGTATCCAAGTGAGCTTTAGCTTTCTTCCCCTGTCCTCCTCTCTTGCAGTTTTAAAGGATCACAGCATTTCATTAGGAGATTAGTGCCTTGGGGGTGATGAGTTTGGAGTATTATTTTGATAGTACTTTTATTTTTTACTACTATTTTTGTGGTCCTTGGTATTGAACTTAGTTCAATACCATGCTAGACAAGTTCTCTACTATTCCCCATTATATCTCTTCAATGCTTCTTTTATTTTTAAGAGAAAATTTTTATAAGTAATTTTCTTGGTTTGTTCTGTTTTTTTGAGATGATGTTTCTCTGTATACCTCTGGCTGTCCTGGAATTCACTCTGTAGGCCAGGCTGGCCTCAAACTCAGAGATCCACTTGCCTCTGCCTCCTGGGTGCTGGATTAAAGGTGTGTACCTCCACCACCCAGCCAGTAATATTCTTATTCATATAGTAATTTTACATCTTATGCACCACAGATTGCCTTGCTGTTTCATACTGCTTTAGTCATTGACATTTTTCTTCTGTTTCCATCTCATATAATGAGTAGTTAATAGTGTAGAAGTCAGTCTATTTGTCCTCTAAGCAAATCTCAAATTTCCAATTTGGATAAGAGTTAGAAATAAATTATATGTGTAAGGCTGTGATTCAAGTGAACAAGACTCCCCAGGGAGAAAACAAGATAGATACACCTGTATCATTAAAGAATTTAGTTGGTTTTATGACCTTCTCACATTCTTACAAAGACTGGCTCTTAAAACATACTTATTAAAATTTCTCTGTTATTCAAGATTGAAAGGATCTATTATAGAAATAAACTAGAGCAAGACTGGAAATATTTTCAAAAATCAAGCTTATATTTGGGTCAAAGAATCATAAGTAAAGTTAAATAATTTGAAGGTTTTAAAAAATAAACTTTCTAACATTCTTTGTCTTGTAGCTAGATAACAAATAATAGTAAAAAGGAAAACAACAACAACAAAAACACTTCAAGTTAGTTTGAATGAGAGAAACAGTTGGGAAATGGAGGGGAGGGGTGTTATATGTTCTTTCCACCCTCCTAACACTTTTTGTTCTGCAGTGGACAAGATATGGTGAGCATTCTCCAGTTAGTTCAAAATCTGATGCATGGAGATGAAGATGAGGAGCCCCAGAGCACCCGGTAATGAAGGAGTGTTGATAGCTTGCCTTTGAATGTCTGTTCTTGCTCTGGTAGGGGTGGCACAGGCCTTTAATCCCAGCACTAAGGAGGCGGAGGCAGGTGGATATCTGAGTTTGAGGCCAGCTAGAGAGAGAATTCCAGAACAGCCAGGGCTACATAGAGAAACCCTGTCTTGAAAAACAAAACAAAACAAAAAAGAAAGTCTGTTCTTGACTCTCTTATCAGGAGTTTCTCAAGGAAGAAATTTAAGTGTAATTAATTTCATTAAAAGTTACATTTTTATTTTTATATTCTGAAAGTAGATCCTGGCATTTTTATATTATTAGGTCTTATGAAGAGCCATTAGAAGGACTGAAGTGCTTTGTGCTTTTCTATTTTTTGCTTTAGCTTATTATGAACCACAGTTAAATTGATTAGTGGAAGCCTTTATTGTTTGCGAATCACATTTTGTTTTATTTATTCATCTAGTGTATTTAAATTAATATGTCTTCATTTTGTCAATTTTTTATGCTGTCAGTAATATATTTTCCTTGTTCAAAAGACAGAAGATAAACTGGGCATGATGGCACACACCTGTAATCCTAGCATTCTAGAGGCCAAAGCAAGGGGATCACAAGTTTGAAGCCAGCATAGGGCTACAAAGCAAGACAAAAGCAAAGCAGAGTAAAATTGAAAAGAAAGGGTATACAAAAATAGTTTTCTAGGCTGTGTCAGCCTGTATGTGTCCTGAGGTTAATTCCCAGTACTGAAAAACACACAGGCATCCCTACCTGGTTCTCTTTTGTGGTCATAGACAATGACTAGTTTATTATTCTCCCACAGATATTTTATGTGTTTGTGTATACATCTATATATACCCTCTCCAGTACTTAAATACTATACACCCTGGCGTTTTTCACTTAGGCCTTAAGAGCTCATTGCTTGGCACACGAGGAACTTTCTCTTTGTTAAGAGCAACTTTATTTTACTTTGAGTAAATAAATAGAATTTTATAAATAGAATTTTATTTCATGTTCCTGTTTTACTGATAGAAACATTGCTGCAGCCAGTAACTTTAAGCATGTTATTTCTTGCAGGGGCAAGTGTGTTTGGGAAATAAGTCATAGAAATAGGATGCTGGGTCAGATAGTGTATGCATGCATTTGAAATTTCACTAGAGCCAAATATTGCTTCTAGGAGATAAGCCAGTCCATAAGCTCACAGGGAGTGTGTAAGAATACTTTCCCCACCTTTCTACAGTGGTGTTATCAAACTTAAAGATCTTTGATAAGTGGTGAATGACAAATATAAAGTGAGGTATTTCAGTATCATATTTTTCTTATGAACTAGATCATGTCTTTTTGTATGTTTTAAGACTTACTTGATACTGGGGGTGTAGCTCAATGGTAGAATACTTGCCTCACATGGGCTAGGTCTCAAGTTCAAGTCTTAGTACCTTTTTAAAAAGATGTTTAAAAAAGACTTAAAAAATTATTCATGTATATGTGTCTGTGTAAGTGTATGCTATATATCTGTGGGTGTCCATGGAAGCTGGCACCCTACAACTGAGCTATATTACCTTTCCTCTGCAGTTCATCATGATTATCATTATTATTTTATGTATATGGATGTCTTGCCTTCATGTATGTCTGTGCACCACTTGTATGCCTAGTACCTGAAGAGGCCTGAAGTGTGTCAGAGCCCTTGGGACAGGTGCTGGGAACAGAACTGGGTCTTACTCAAGAGTAGCTAGTGCTCTAAAACTTCTGAGCCATCTCTACATACCTCCTCCATAGCTCTAAAGGCTAAATATCAACCTTTTTTTTTTTTTTTTTAATTTAGAACCATCTTTTAAATTTTTTTTTTTAAATTAAGAACCATTTGCATTGTCAGTAAAGATATTTATCTTTTAGGACCCAATTTTAAAAATATTTTTCTTCCCAGACTTTCAGCATCTCATAGACATTTTTTTCTGAATTCCCCTGTAGGACATGAAGTAAATTGAAACTCTGCCAAATTTCTATGAAACACTTCTAAAAATATATTTCTTTTTCTATATTTTGGCAATAATCAGATTTTAATACTCTAATAAATTTTGATTAACAGAATCCAGAATATTGGAGAACAAGGTCACATGGCTTTGTTGGGTCATAGTCTGGGTGCTTATATTTCAACTCTGGATAAAGAAAAGCTGAGAAAACTTACAACCAGGATACTTTCAGACACTACCTTATGGCTACGCCGGATTTTCAGGTAAAGACATTGTAAGCCAGGTTTTTTTTTTAAGAATTCATTTATTTACTGGTAAAGACATTATGAGAGATGTTTTGTTTGTTTGATTGATTTTCGGTTTATTTACTTGTTTTTGACAGAGTCTCTATGTAGCCTGTCAATCCTGGAACTTGCTGTGTAGATCAGGCTGTCCTCAAATGACAGAGATCTGCCTGACTCTTCCTCTCAAGTGCTAGGATTAAAGGCATGCACTATACCCAGCTCTACTTCTTTTCTTTTAAATTATATGAGTATCTTGACTGCATGTATGGAGATGTACCACATGTGTATACTACCAAGGAGGCCAAAAGAGGCCATCAGATCTTCTGAAGCTAGATTTTCAGATAGTTAAGAGCTGCTACATGGGTGCTGGGAACCAAGCCCAGATTCTCTGTTAGAGCATATAGTGCTCTTAATTGACCAGCCACCTTTTCAGCTACTCCTACATGTTTTTAATTCCTGGTAAAGATGAATCAGAATCAGATGTGGGTTGTGAAGAATGTTTTTATGTTGCTCCATATGGATTTGATTCTTCCTTGGAGGGGTGGTTTAACCTCTCCAAGCCTAGTTATTATCCTCTATTAAGTAGGGAGAATATAGACAGCTATTTTGTTTGAGGATTAAGCACATTAATGCTTCATTTATTTTGGATGTCTTAGTGCTGAAACTCCTAACAACCATTTTGGCCTGTAGCATTAGCCTTCATGTGACACAAGAAAGAGCCACTGTCTTCAGACTTTTTATTTCTGCACTTCTAGTCTTTGTTTCCATCATTTCTGTTCATTCTGTTTCTAAAGTTAGGTGTGGACGCTTGGTCTTTGCTTCTTCCCTGCATAACCCACACCTGCAGTGAATAGCCAACCCTTGAAAATGAAGGGGGATCCTCACTGTGTCCTCTCTCTGCCTGATCTAGTGTCTGAGAAAAGAATTGTTTTCATGATATTGTACTAGAGAAAAAAAGCATAATTAACTAGGAGTACATTAATATGTATCTGGAGAGGTAGCTGATCAGTTAAGAGCACTGGCTGTTTTTCTAGAAAACCTAGATTTTATTCCTAGGACCCTTATGACTGTTCACAACAATCTGTAACTTCAGTTTTGGAGATCTGATGACTCTTCTGGCCACTTTGGGTACTGCACATGTGTGATGCACATACATACGTAAAAATCTTTTTAAAAATTAAAAGAGTACAGTAACATACAAGATCTCTTAATAGGTATGAAAATGGATGTGCTTATTTCCATGAGGAAGAGAGGGAAGGACTTACTAAGATCTGTAGGCTTGTCATTCATTCTCGCTATGAAGACTTTGTAGTGGATGGATTCAACGCGTTATATAACAAAAAGCCTGTCATATATCTTAGTGCTGCTGCTAGACCTGGCCTGGGCCAATACCTTTGTAATCAGGTAATGTAAAAAACAGGTTGTTATTGTTTTTAACAGCTTCCTTTTTGTTTCATGTGTATATGTGTATGCATATGTTTATATGTCTGTGTCAGTAGGGACATATGTGTTCATGGAGGCCAAGGGTTGATGTCAGGAGTCATCCTCCAATATTCTTTCATACTGTTCACTGAAACAGGGTCTCTTAGTCAAACCCAGAGCTTACTCTGCAGATTGTCTGTTTCTGTCCTCCAGGACTGGAATTACAAATGGATGACTACTTTTACCTGGCGTTTACAGTGTTTATGTGGATCCAAACTATAGTCTTTACACTATGTATTAAATGTTTTATCTCTGAGCCATTTCCCCAATCCCAATTTTGTTTTTATTTTTGTATATTTGTGTTTGCATGCATGGCTATATCTGTACCACATTTATGTAGGTTCCCAGAGATCAGGAGAGGGTGTCATGTGCTCTGGAAGTGGTATTATAGGTGATTGTGAACATTTCAGTATGTCTGTCAGGAACCAAACCCATCTCTCCAACCCCCAAAGATAGATATTTTAAAGAAATTGTATCATATAGTTGGTTTTTTGTTGTACTACTACTAGAGCTCAAACCCAAGGCTTCACATATGCTAAGCAGGGGCTGTACACATGGAGCAACACCTGCTGCCCCAGTGCTTTATCTTTTAAATTTTTAAAAAAGAAATTTTATTTGTTTGTTTATGTATATCTGTGAGTATATTCCACGTGTGTGCAGGTGTCTATGGAGGCCTGGAGCCAAGTTGCAGGTGTTTGTAAGCTACCTGATGTGGGTACTGGAAACCAAACCCAGATCCTCACCAAGTATTTCTAAACACTGAGCCTGTTTTTTAAACATTTAAAGCATGTAGGTGCATTTCTTTAGCTCCTGTTGGTGTCATGTTGAAAAAAGATATTTTTATATGCTTTTTTGTTATTATACAAACAGTTCAGCACTGTGGGCTGGCAGGATGAGTCAGTGGGTAAAAGTACTTGATACATAAACTGGATGACCTGAGTGTGATCGCTAGAACCTATGTAAGAAAGCCTGATACACTGGCATGTTCTGTAATCACAGCATGAGATGGGATATGGAGTCAGGAGAATTGGCCAGAGTCTCACAGACCAATTAACTTGGAGTCTGTAACATGACACAAAACAGAAAAGAGATGCTACCTCAGAAAGGGAAAGGAGAGAATTGACTCAAAAGTTGTCCTTTGACTGCTATTGCATATGTGCGTTCCCTGGCCCCCTAAAAAAAGTTAAAAAGAAAAGAAACTCCACCAGCCTAGACTGCATAGTATTACTATATCTCAAAATAAAGTTATTGAATTTAGAAATAATGTCTCACTGGACTTGGTGGTTGTACAGCAATTTTAGAGCTTGGAAACTATAGGCAAAAGGATGTGAGCCACCATAGCCAACTAATTTTTCAGATGAGGTCTTACCATGAGTATGACCAGGCTGGTATTAAAATAACTTTGTAGCTCAGCATGGCTCTGAACTGGCCATCCTCTTTCTTCAGCCTCCCAAGTGCTAGGATTTTAGGCTTTTGGCACCATACCCAGACTTTCAAACACTTTTAAAAGTGTTTGAAATGGATCTTTGTTTTTCAGTACTTTAAGAAAGGGATGAGGTATAGCTCAGTAGAAGAGCAGTTTGATTAGCATCCTTATGGCCCTGGGTTCAATTCCTGACACTGCCAAAGAAAAAGGTACTGCAAAAAGTCTTTTCTAGAAGTAATGTGTGAATGAAACACTGAACTGTATTTTAAATTTTATACTGCACCTGTTTATAGTTCTTAAACCTACAAAAACTCCCTGTGTTTGGAATCTAAACATTACGAACATAAAATTAATTTGACAACTTTCTTCTTTCATGGCATTGACTTTGCTTCTTTTAAAAAATATACTTCTGCTAATCCAAATTTGTTATTTTTAGGAGTAGAAGAACCCATAAGTAAGATACTGTTCTCTGAATGGTGTGAGGAAGAATCCCAGATTACCCTCCTCACCTTAGAATGCAGTGTGCTTAGTAGTTTTTTTTTTGTTTGTTTGTTTGTTTGGAAAAGACTGGTTTTTGGCATATTCTAGAATATCATTTAGAAAGGTTTAGATTGTGTCCTCTTACAAATCATTAGTTAAGTCACCTTTTGGGAGTGAGAGTTTAACTTTCTATATGTACTTATTAACATATATTTATAAAACCAGAGGTCTTATGGGAGACTTTTTTTTTTTTTTAATCTTAAAGGCGGGGTCTCCCTGTATGGCCCAGGCTGACTTTACACATATGATCCTCCAGCCTCAATAATAAGATAATAGACGTATACCATTGTACCCCATTAAGATTTCTGTTTTTAAATACTTTAAGGTTTGTCTTTGTTGCTCAGAGTCATAAGTGAACAGTATATTTTTTTCTTGCAGCTTGGCTTACCCTTCCCCTGCTTGTGTCGTGTTCCCTGTAACACTATGTTTGGATCCCAGCATCAGATGGTGAGTTCTCTTTTTGGTTTAGATGGTAGTATAGAGTTGCATTTTGAAACCATGTCTTTCTTTTTCTAAGCTTCTGTCTGCTGGCCTCCAGATAGTTATTAGCTTACCCATTTATTGTTTCAGTCCTCCCATTGTGGTGTAGTGTATGTTTTTGTATTTAAATAAAGGCCAGCCTGTGTAGCAATAAAGGAATCTTGTACTACTCCATCACCTGTTCATTTTGGGGTAGTAGGAGGGGTGTTGTTTGGTGCTAGGGGCCCTTGTATGCTGAGTATGTACTCTCCCCAGCCCTTTAATCATTGTGCATCCCAATTAAGCATGAGAAAGTTCTTCAAGCTCAGAGTTTTAGCTAGTTATCACTACCATATAAGTGGGCATATTATTTTGTTCTTTGCTTTGTTGAGACAAGATCTTCCTGGGATGCCCAGGCTGGCTTCAGAATTGTGATCCTCCTATAATGTGAATGGGCAGGTTTTGAAATGAGGTCTTTTATTGTAATCTTAGAGCTGAATTGTGACAATTTTTTACACATGCAAGAGATAAACATCTTGATACTGACAGCAGAAGGGAAGAGAGAAACTCTACAATTCTGCATTTCTATTTTCAAAATAGTTTCTTGTCTATTTGTGGGGAAATGAGAACGTATTTTCTTTACATGTAAATGTTTTGTTTGTTTGATTTTTGTTTTTATTTTGTTTTTATTTTGTTTTGCTTTGGGCAGGGGGAGGTTTCAAGACAGGGTGTCTCTCTGTAGCTTTGGCTGTCCTGAAACTCACTATGTAGACTAGGCTGACCTTGATCTACAGAGAACTCAGAGATCCACCTGCCTCCTGAGTGTTGGGATTAAAGGCATGTGCCACCACTACCGGGCTAAATGCAAATGTTTAAAACTAGAAATACTGGTCTTACATATATATACTACCAGTAATCTCTGTTAATTTTTCTAATTAGTCCATAAGAAATACTGAGTTTGTCATCTATAATTATGGAAAGAAAGCAAAACTTGTTAAGAATAAACATTTTATTTGAATACTATGAAATTTCTATAGGAGGAATACTTTGGAATCTTTATTTTAATAAATAGGAGAAAAATAGCTCAATGATACCAAAGAAAGATAAAAGTTTCTTTTGGGAAAAGTTGTAAATGTGTTTCAAACAAACATTTACTAATATTATAGGTGTAATCTTTTAAAATGAGGAATTCATTCAGGCGTGGTGGCAAAAACCTGTAATACTAGCACTTAGGGAGGCAGAGGCAGGCAGATCTCTGTGAGTTCGAAGTCAATCTGGTCTACAAAGCGAGTGAGTCTAGGACAGCCAAGGCTACACAGAGAAACCCTGTTTTGAAAAACAAACAAACAAACAAACAAACAAACAAAGGAATTCAGGCTAGGTGTGTGGGCACATACCTTTACTCATAGTACTGGGGAGGCTGAGGCAGATGAATTTCCACAGAGCAGGCCAATAGGGCTATATAGTGAGGCCCCGCCTCAAATAAAAAAAAAAAAAGGAGGGAGTTCAGAACTCCCTTTATATCATAAGAAAACTAATGTTTTTTGAGTGTTTCTTATATGCATTTTATACAAGTAGTATACAATAGCTTTAAAATAATTTTCTTACATATATTAATAAAACTGAATAGATTTTAATGTTTTAAGTCTGAAATTTAAGAGTAAATAGTTATTCTAACATGAAAATTCTGTTTAAGTTACTAATTTTGAGTCATCTGTGCCTTTAGAATTAATACTTTCTCACCAGGCATTAGCTTAGATCTCCGGATCAAACACAGGTACCACATAAAATCAAACATGGTGTACACCCTCAGGAGGTGGAAACAAAAGAATCAGGAGTTCAAGACCAGCCTAGCTACATGAGACTGTTGGGTGGGCCGGGAAGAAGACTCAGTTGGTAAACTGATTCCCAAGAAAAAAGGTCCGAGGATCTGAGTTCAATCCCCAGAACTCACATTAAAAAATCACTAAAATTATAGTTATGGTTTTTAAAAATAAGGAATTAAGCTGGGTGTTGTCGCACATGTTTTTAATCCTAGCACTCTTAATTCCAGCACTTGAGCAGCAGAGGAGGTGGATCTCTATAAGTTCAAAGCCAGCCTGGTCTACATAGCAAGTTTCAGGCCAGCCATTGTTACATAGTGAGATACTGTCTCAAAACAACAACAAAAAACAATTCAGGCCAGGCATAGTGGCTTATGCTTGTATCCCATTGCTGGGGTTTTAAAGTCAGGTCAGTCCACGGACCTTGCTGTTCAGCCAGCCTAGCCTTATCAGCAAGCCTGTTTTGAGAGACCCTGTCTCAACCCTAAGTGGCTCTTGAGGGACAACCCTGAGGCAGACCTTTGGCCCCCAAGCACATCTGTGCTCTAGTCTCCTCATGGCAAACTCCTCATGCTGCCGCCTTCTTCTCTTTCTCCTCCTCTTCTTTCTACCTGAGACTCAGACTGCTAACGGAAGTCCACTTATTGTTTCCTCTGCCTAGTCATTGGCTCTTCATCTTCTTTATTAATCAGAGATAAGTGAGATGTAATTTTTACACAACTTTGAGACCGGAGATTCTTCATAGAAATGATATTTGGACTGTAACCAGATCTCAGGGCACAGAAATCAACATATAATTATATACACGGTGCACAGCATATAATTATATCCCCCAACAACAGAGTTGTAATTTCTCATTGAATACCTTTTATACTGATTGGCTCACATTTCTGTATTTTGTTGGTTGTAGGATGTTGCCTTTCTCGAGAAACTGATTAAAGATGACATAGAAAGAGGAAGGCTGCCTTTACTGCTTGTTGCAAGTGCTGGTAGGTATTATAACCCAGTATGTATAAGGGCACTAAATACTTGGCCTGAAAAACAGGGTCTTGTTTGTGTTGTTGTTTTCAAGATGGGGTCTCAGTTCTGTAGGCCAGGCTGGCCTAGAATTCATAGTAGTCCTTTTGGCTTGGCCTCCTAAGTACTGATATTAAGAAGTAAGACACCATGTCCCATCAAGATGAGGTTCTGGTTTGTTTGTTTTTTTGTTTTGTTTTTCGAAACAGGGTTTCTCTATGTATCCTTGGCTGTCCTCTAATTTGCTGGCCTCAAACCCAAGGTGAGGCACTCTTAAGGAAACTAAAGAAACGCTCCTGAAACTAATTTGTGAACCTAATAAGGTTTCTGTCTAGCAATTAACAATTAAAAATCGAATTTAAGGTGAGCATGATGTCTCAGTGGATAAATATGCTTGCCACCACATTGAATGATCTGCATTCCATCTCATGGTGCAAAGACAGAACAGAATCCTACAAGTTGTTCTCTGACTTCCAATTGCATTCTGTGGCAAATGTGCCCACACATACAGAATAAATGTAATAAATAAGAAATTGAATTTAAAAAGGTCTTTCATAATAGCATCAAAAAGCATGAAAATGGGCCATGTGGTGGTAGCACACGCCTTTAATCCACTTGGGAGGCGGAGGCAGGGAGATCTCTGTGAACTCAAGGTCAGCCTGGTCTGCAGAGCTAGTTCCAGGACAGCCAAAGCAACACAGAGAAACCCTGTCTCTAAAAATCATACAAAACAAAAGTATGATAATGGATCATCAAGTTGGTGTAGCAGGTAAAGTTGCTTACTGCCTGATGTTGTACACCTGACAACCAGAGTTCAATCAACTCCACAGAGTTGTCCTTTTTATTTCCACATGAGTGCCATGCTTATTTATACACAGGCTAATAAAAAATTTCTAAGAATAATTAATAAATTTATATATCTGTAATATCTATACACTGAAAAGTACAGAGTATCTTGAAAGAAGTTTAAGAAGACCCAAATGTACTAAAACTTAGCGTATATGTTAGAGACTTGATGTCACTAAGTCATTTCTCTCTAAACAAGCCCTGTCACATAATGAGTTCCAGGCCAGCCGAGACGACAAAGCAAAGTCTTGTCTCAAACAAACTTCCAGAATAATGAAAAACGATTTGGGGTATCACTCAGTACAGCTTGTGCTTAGCAAGTGCAAGGCCCTAGCAACACAAGTTTTTGCTGTTTGAGAAGATCCTGTTGTGCTGGGTATGGTGGCTCATGCCTGTAATTCCAACATTAGAAGTGCAGAGGCAGGTGGATCTCTATACATTTAATGCTCTCATAGTCAACACACCAAGTTCCAGGACAGCTAGAGCTGTATAATAGATTCTGTCTCAAACAAACTAAAACAAAAGACCCTATTAAGTGAAAAGCAACTGGTAGGCTAAAAGTATTTGTGAAACATTTTTTTTTCCTGGCAAATGACATATCTGAAATATGTAACGTTCTGTTTAGTAGTAAGGTGTCAGACAGATTTAAAATGAACAGCATTTAGATGGATAATTTACCACATAGGTATATAAACATTTTAAAAGATGTTTAATGTCAGTATCATTAGAATAGTACAGTTTAGCTGCATATGTTGGTACACACTTTGATCCTAGCTTGAATCTCAGCACTTCAGAGGCTAATGCCTGAGGATCAACAAACTAGGGCAGTTTGGTTTAAATGAGGTCTGGGATGTAATTCAGTTGGTAGAGTGCTTGCTTAGTATATATAAAGCTCTGAGTTTGATCTTAAAGTCTTAAGTGAACCAAATATGGGTGGCACATCTCAATAACTCAAGCACTCTGGAAATGTGGGCAAGAAATTTGAAGTTCAAGGTTGTCTTGGGCTGTATAGTGAGTTCAGGACCAGGCAGTCTCAAAAATATAAAATAAAATAGTAAAATCACAATGAGAGCTTGAGACGTAGTACAGTGTTTTTCTGTTATGCCCGAGACTCTGGCTCCAATCCCACTGCTGGGGAAAAAAGTGCCTGATAGGAATCAGAGAAGCTACATATATATTCCTAGTAGGGCGTTGTGTGGCAAAAATTTTTCTGGGGAGACACAATACATACATCTACTCTAGATGATCCCACTAAGGACCAAAGTACAGATAACACCAGTGTCCAACTTGGTGAACCAGTGAGTTTTATTGGGGTTACTTATAGGAGCAGAAATAACTCAAAGATGGCTGTATCACCAAAGCCCACACCAGCAAGAGTGACAACTCACAATTCTGGGAACCTGGAGCACAGTGCACAGCTTGTAGGCAGCTCAAATAGATTGGAGTTGTTAGGGCTCTGGGATCAGTCAGAGATTCATCATGACAATGGATAAAGTTTAATAAGAAGAGGCTTTATTATTACTGGTGCCAGATACTCCTGGTACCAGGACTGCAACGGTGAGTGCTCCCCAGATGCAGCAGCTAGCCATATCAGTCCAGGGCCTATGAAGGCTAAACCCACAAGATTACATATACTCTGCCTTCATGTAGGCAAAGTCTTATTTTAACATATGTGTCTTGCCGTTGTCCTAGTCATCTTCTTTAGCAGTGTAAGCAAATTGATTATAAAAGCAGAGATAGCAGTTAGCTTTGTGACCTATTTTGCAGAAAAAAAAAAAAAAACACAGTAAATTTTACAAGATCAGTCAGTTTTCAGTGTCTGGGAAAAGAGGATTTGGACTGCTAGGGTACAGCCTGTACAAGCTACAGACTTACATGTTAGAGATTTTTTTTTTTTTCTTTTTGGCTTCTCAAATTAAGTCTAAAGTTTAAAATCATCAGAGGAGTGTCCTTTCCTGGTGCCTCAGCCAGGCAGCTCAGCCAGGCAGCTCAGCCAGTCTCAAGAGTCGTCTTTAGTATTTCGCTTGTCTAAATCTTCATCGCAGCTTGGCTCTGCTCTTCAGAGAGGGAGTCTTAGCTTTTATTATTTACTCTGGCAGGGGAAGGGCCTAGTGAATCTGGTCTTCATCAGGGACTTCATAAAGCTCTTTCTGCTCAAAAAGCTTCTATGAAGGATGGAATGTCTACAAAGCGAATCTAGGACGGCCAAGGCTGCACAGAGAAACCCTGTCTAGAAAAACTAAAACAAAAACAAAAAGAAAGCACTTAAGTATCCACCTTATTGCTGTTGCAAAACCATTGCTTCCTGCCTAACTCAAAAAGAAGCACAAGTTGACCCAATATCAGTCACTTGATGGACTTAGAGATTGCAGTTAGCATGTGACTGAGTGACTTCTCATTGTGACCCATTTCTATTCCCTGAAACAGACATAGCCAAAAAATATGAAATGACTCTGATAGTGATCCAGTTATTAAACATAGCACTGAACATTCATCTAGATAGAAGTATTATAGTTAAGTGTTGTTTAATTCATTAACATAAATGTGTGGTATATATGTCTGTAATCCCAGGCACACAGATCTCTGTGATTTTAAGGCCAGCTTGGTCTATCTATATAGCAAGTATCAGGATAGCCAGGACTACATAGAGAGACCCTGTCTCAAAAAACATAACCAAATTAAAAAAACAAACACAAAAAAAACTTAAGTTAAAAATTTAGGATGTTAAGCATGATTGGTGTCATTCCTTGGGCACAACCTATTTGTTTTATTTAGATCTGGTCTAGCACTGGCCTTGCCAGGTAATGCTAGGCTGCTGGTCAGTATAGCCCAATTATGTGCTGCCATCAAGCCAGTCTTTTTAACATGAGTTCTAGAGATTGAACTCAGATCTTTATGCCTGTGGGACAGCATTTTACCTAACCATCTCCTCAGTCGCGCCCCCCCCCCCCTTTTTGAGATTAAAAGAAAAATCATGTATTTCATGCTGGCTTTTAACTCAGGTAGCCTTTGAACCTAACTCAGGATGACCTTGAACTTTTGGTTTTAGTGCTAGGATTACAAGCATGTACCACCATATCTACTTTTATGTAGTGCTGTGGACTTAACCTAGAGTCTCTGTGTGCTAGGCAAACACTTTACCAACTAAGCCAAATTGCCAGCCTACATAATCTTTTTTTTTTTTTTTTCCTGTAAGTTCTATTCAGGCCTTGGTAAGGATATAGAAGTTTTTACTACTTAAAATTTTATTAACTGAAAATTTAGAGAATTTGGGGGAATATATGACTATGTTCACTTAAATTCTGTCTGAGAAAGGGTGTCCCCAGCAAAGTCTGCAGTGCAAATTACTGAGGGATGAGCTCCAAGACTTTGATATGTTTAAGTAGTCTTCAAAATACATGTCTTGTGATAACAACCTGTATGATAAAAACCCAAAGTCATGTTACACATTCTTTTTATAAAGGTGACACCTAAATAACAAAAACCTCACAGTGTGGAGAGAAAAACAATGAGAAAGGATATCTTGAGCAAATATCAACAAAAGTACTATACCTAGAGTAGTTGGTGAGTATAAAATAGTTCACATTACAAGACATAAGCTAAAAGAGAAAAGTTACAAATGTTTATAGCCAAAACTTTGGAGTTTCTAAAGCAAATGCAGGTATAAATCAACAGTCCCACAGTCTTGAAGGCAGGCTTGACAGTTCCCCATGACTCAGTAAGTCTAGTGAGTAAAAAGCCAGTATGATTTCAGTACAAAATTAGATACTTACAAAAAAGGAGGCACATTCTTTAAAGATTACACAAACTGCCTTGGTGGTTTGTTTGCTTGCTTTCTTGGTTTCTTTGGGTTTTCCTTCCTTCCTTCCTTTTTTTTTTTTTTTTTTTTTTTGAGACAGGGTTTTTCTGGGTAGCCTTGGCTGTCCTGGACTCACTATGTGGACCAGGCTGGCCTTGAACTCACAAAGATCCACCTGTCTCTGTCTTCTCAAGTGCTGGGATTACAGGCCTGTGCCACTGCACCCAGGCACAAACCAGATTTTAAGTGTTGGTTTTAAAGTCAAACCATAATGATGATTACAAAGTAGGGATACATTGCTGCTTCCATCCTGTGGAAATGCTGCGTAGCTATGTGTGAAAGCTCCTCCATTGTAAAGATTCAGAAGGCATTGGGTTGCTTTTTAATGCCCCTGCTTATTTTATTTAGGTACTGCAGCAGTTGGACACACAGACAAGATTGGACGTTTGAAGGAGCTCTGTGAGCAGTATGGCATCTGGCTTCATGTGGAAGGGTAAGTAGATGGTAAGGTTGGACAGTTCCATGTTGGTCCTCATGGAGAATGGACACCCAGACCAACACTTAGGGTGACATTCATCATTAAAGGCTTGGATTACAGATGACAGAATCACTCAAATTGGCTAAAGCAAAAGGAAATTTTACTGCTTCATACAACTAAAAAGACCAGTATTAGGAATGGCTTTAGGCACAGTGGCAACCAGAATTCCATATATTCCTTTCCACTTGGCTGGATTTCCTATGTTTTGACTCATTGAGAGACATTTCCAATTGTGGTAAAAATTAACTGCAGAAATCATAGCCCCCTTTCCAGCTTCATGTTCCATGAGTTCCTCTGACAGTTGAGATCATTTGGACACCTCTGAAGTGGTTGATTGCACCTGAGCTCATAGTTTGATACAAGTGATAGGAATGTCTTTAAGGAGAAGAGGAGTAGATTCAGGGCAGACTGCCCATGTCACCACATCATCCCAGATAAGGTTGCTTTTATCTTAGTTCTACAAAAAGGACAGTGACTGAGGAAGAGTGGCTGGGAAAGATACCGAATGGTGCGGGCATTGTCCTAAGGAAGCAGGGACAGCCCCTAAAGCATGTTTTTAAAAAAGTGCATTTTGAAGCTTTTTTAAGGATTTCTATAACTCCCATCTTTGGCTTTAATAAATGCTTATCAAGCAAAAGGCATATGTAAAGATATGCACATGTCACCTTCTGACAGCACAATTGGTTTCTTTTTTGTAGAGTACCTGATTAGGGAGTAAATTGGTTCTTAGACTTATGCTTTTTCTTCCAGTGTGAATCTGGCAACATTGGCTCTAGGTTATGTCTCCTCATCTGTGCTGGTATGTTTTTGGTTTATTGAATATTGGTGGTGGTGATCTTACGAATAGAGGAGGGACTATGTTTCATGTTCCCTGGCTAGCTAATTAACAAAGCTCTTTTTTGGTAGGCTGCAACTAAATGTGATAGCATGACACTGACTCCTGGCCCATGGCTAGGTCTGCCAGCCGTTCCTGCAGTGACGCTCTACAAACATGATGATCCTGCCTTGGTGAGCTGACGGTCACTAGGGAATGAGTGGTATTCATAATTGCCTTCCTGGGTAGAATATAGAGAAAGAAAAGAAAAGAAAAAAAAAATTCTAAATTCTACTTCTTTTATCTTTTTTAAATTACTTTTTTTGGGGAGACAAATAATGGGTTTCAGTATGGCATTTCATGCATATTTGTTGTACCTTACTCACACTCTTCAGTACCACTATTTAAAAAAATTTAAGTGGTCTAAGTGGCACATACATGTAATCCCAGTACTTAAAAGGCTAACACAATAGAATCTTAAGTGTAAGGCTATCTTGGGCTGCATAGCAGGCTCTAGGATATTCTAGGCTACTTCATGAGACCCTGTCTTAAAAGTAAAAACAAACAAACAAAAAAATCTCTGGAGCTGAAAACTTTATTGGTAGCATGCTTGCCTTACCAGATGTCTTAGTATTTATGAGCCAGGAGGGTCAGGAGTTCAAGGCCAACCTAGGCTCTGTGTCAAACAAAACAAAACAAAAAAACCCCGCAAATTTGTTCTTAAAAAAGAAATCATGTGAGTCGAGGTGGGAAGTACTCGTACCACAGCACACATGTGGAGGTTAGAAGACGACTTTGTGAGAGTCCCCTCCTCCATCTTTCCATAGGTTCTAGAGGTCAAACTCACAAGAGTGCCTTTGCTAGTTGAGCCACCTCAGTAGCCCAAGATGCCGTCCATACTGTACATTGTTTTTAGTTATGTTTTCCCTGTACTTCCCTATGTGTGTGGAAGATACCTGTGTGTGTGATTTTATGACTTATTTTCTTTCTATAGCTTGATCACAATTTATGTAATAATGGTCATTTGTGAGCTTTTAGGGTATTATCAAATTTTAATTAATAAGACAATAAACATCTTTTTATGTATCAAATTATTTTCAGAGAGTCTACATTTTGGTTCCCAAAAGCAGAATTACCATTTAAGACTCTAACCCACATTTTCAGTGCAGGTTGTAACATAAAATCTTATTGGTTTAAACCCTGAATTGTGTTTTTTTGTTTTTTGTTTGTTTGTTTTCATAGATGTGTTAATGATAGGTGCATGCATGCAAAGTAAATGCTCAGTGATTATTGAACAGTAAATGTACAGTAAAGAGAGGTGCTATCTTGCTTAGTTGAAAATTGCCAACAATTTTAAAGATGCTCACCTGTCAAGAGTCCATTCCTAAATGGCTAAGAACTGTGGCTCTAGAACTTAGCCTATCTGGATTTTTACCTGGAGTAGCACTGCCTTCCCTCATTTTGAATCCTTGAACACAGCTGGATTTCTGAGCTAAGCTCATCTAGGGTACTAGTTGTTGAAAGGCCAAATGGATAATGCAAGCCAAGTATCACACATAGTATTTGACATGTAAATTTGTAATGAAAAGTAGCTAGTCAGTACTGATGTTCCAGCAGCCCTGAATGCACCTGTCTTGTCTTTTTTAGACCCTAGTTGCTGGTCTTACATCAAATAAGCCTGCAGACAAACTTCGAGCCCTGCCGCTGTGGTTGTCTCTACAATACTTGGGACTTGATGGCATTGTGGAAAGAATAAAGCATGCCTGTCAGCTGGTGAGTAGAAACATTAAAAGAGTTACAGAGACTCCTCCACAAAAGCAGAAACAGGAAAATCTTTTACTTTTGGTATCCTCTGTCCAGAATGAGAAAAGTCACAAGATGACTTTCAGGAAGAGAGGTGGTGCTCTTGACTGACTCCAGAGAGAAGGAATATAAAAATAGAAAATTGAATATAGAGGGTTGCTATGGTGCCCCATGCCTTTAATTCTAGCACTTGGGGGGGCAAAGGTAGAAGGATCTCTGTTAGTTTGAGACCAGCTGTTCTACATTAAGTTCCAGGACAGCCAGGACTATAGAGAGAGACCCTGTCTCAAAACAAAAACAAAAAACAAAAAAAGAAAGTTTAATGTAAATGGCATGGGGTTTTTTAATATGTGTTTTTATGAATTGTTTGAGAATTTCATATGTTGTATTTCACTTCCCCCCTCTAAGTTACCGAAAATCCCATTCCATCACATACCCATCCAATGTTGTCTTTGTTTGTTTAAAGAAAGGAAACTCTCCCAGAAGCAATCAGTTACCAGTAGCTCTGCACTCTGCTAGAGGGCATTGGTATCTTTTTAAAGATTTATTTTATTTTTTGTGTATGAGTGTCAGTGTACCATGTTGCATGCCTGGTGCCCTGAGGCCAGAAGAGGGCACTGGATTCCCAGGAACTATAATTACAAATGGTTGTGAGCCATCACTTGGGTCCTGAGAATTAAACCTGGGTCCCCTGGGAGTATAGCAAGTGTTATTAACTGCTGAGCCATCTCTCCAGCTCCCAAATATGGTATTCTTAATACAGTACCTTGGTTTTCCTATTTGTAAGGTACTGGAACAAGTCTTTCCTTGTATTGGAGGTATTCTGATTATGAAAAACATAAATTATGTTATAGGTTAATGTCATCTTGTTAGTGACTATAACAAAATACTTTGGACTGGGTAATTTGTGAGTAGCAAAAAATATATTGCTTATATTTGTAGATGCTCAAATCTGATATCAAGGTATCAGTAGATTCTGGTGAAGGCCTTAGATGATACTCTCTGTGTATTCTTATGTGGGAACAGGGGAAACACTCCCTTACCCTCTTTTTATAAGCATGTTCACAAATCCTTTTTAGTGAATTCTTTAATCACCTCTGAAGTCTGAGTCTATTAATATTATTATTTAGGATATTAAGTTTCAGCATGGGAAGTTTGGATAGGCACATATATTGAGAACCTTACCTTTTTACACTTTCTCTTGTCATTTTTACATTTAAGAAAAATTAGTACTGGTTCCTTTGGTTTATAGATTAATACTTTTTGCATTAAAATTTAATTTTAAGTTTTTAAAAAGCATTTTTTAGTTCTTAGGAAATAGAAGCCTTTGCTAACATAGCAACTTAGTCAAGTTAGAAAAATGTGTGAGTACTCATAGGAGAGGTTCAGTTTCCCTTGGCTTTAGGAGGGCAGGAAAATAATGATAACATTAATTACCAAACCCTTGAGGTTACCACAGCACTGGCATCTGCCTACAACCCAAACCTGTAGCTAACCTTCAGTGCTCATGAAGGTTTGAGTGACATCCTGCTATTTACTCACCATGTTAGGGCACCTGTGAAACTATGTAGGACATTAGCAGCTATGCATGTCTACATGTTCATGCCATATAGTCCATACTGTGTCTTACATTTCCAATGAAAGAAGGCTGTCTCTTGTGCTTCCTCTCCTCAGCTCCTCTTTCTTCATGTGTGGCAGCTGTTGAACATCTACTCAGTGCCAGACACCATTAAGCACTTTGTGTTATTTCATATGATGCCCACAAATTCACTAGAATGCAGATTTCAGTGGTAAAATATATTTCAAGTGGGGTTCCTTGAAGGTCTTTGCAACATCAAATACTCAATGAATATTCATTTCTCTACTCCCTGAATTAGGGACTATAATAATTCTCCTATCAGTGAAGAGGGGTTTTGGATAGAGTAATGATTGTAATTGTATCTGTCCCCATGAGTTGGCATGTCATGTAACTTTACTTGGAAGACTGAAAAAGCAGATGTTGAGTTGTCAAAATTGGGACTCACACTTAGTAATAAAGTTGCAGGTGCCTTTGCCTGAGGTGCTTATTTTCACATTGCAAAGACCCTCATGATAATAATATATTATGCCTGCTAATAATATATTTTGCCAGTCTAATAAGTTGTACTCTTTTGTTGTTGTTATTGTTTGCAGAGTCAACGGTTACAAGAAGGTTTGAAGAAAGTGGACCACATTAAAATCTTGGTATAGTATATAGTTTTCTCTGCTTTTGAAATAAGTTTCTTAGCTCCATTAAGAAAATGGTTTTTCCTGAAGTGTGGTATATTACCCTTGAGTTGTGACAGTTCCAGTGAACAACAGTCTTTAGGAGGAAATCACACATATGTTTATGACCTAATCATTCAATTAGCTTGAAATTAAGAAGTCTGAACCAGAAATGTTTAAATTTTAAATTCCTATAATTCTGCTAAAATGTAGAATTGCACAAAGAGCTGATGTAAACTCCTTTGACTTCACCCTCCCAAGGGCTTGAAATCACCAATCCTTGGAAATAACTGTCTCAAAATACTCTGCATTACTTTCTGAAACCTGCTCAAAGTGGAATGACAAGGAAAAAGCAAATGTCCCAGATCTTGTCTCTGGGATCTTTCTAAACAATCTTTCAGACCGCTCCCTCAGGTAGTAACTGACAAAAAGATAGGGACTTGACAGGGCTAACAACTAACAGTATCAATCCAAGAAGGCACCTTTTCACATTTTGCTTCATATATTTTAGAATTTCAGGAAATACAGGTCAGGCTTTTATTTAAATGTGCTTACTGAGTATTTCTTTAGCACTTCAGAGCAGAGTTTAGTTTAAAGTTGGTCCTTGAGATTATTTGTGTTTATTTGTTAATTGTTGAGGATAGATTGCAGGGGGTGGGGGGAGTCAGGGTTAGGGAGCCAGATACTGTATTTTGGATTCAGTTAAGAAGAGACTTGGAAGAGGAGAGTGAGTAATTGGAGAAACAGAATATTTGAGTTCTGCTCTTAGCAGTGCCACTGGGTGGCTAGGTAACACTGAGTTGTTTTCTTTCTTTTTTTATATACGATTTTTTATTTTTATTTTATGTGTATGGATGTTTTACCTGCATATATGTCTGTGTACCACATGTGTTGAGGCTGGAAGAAGGCATTGGATCCCCTGGAACTGGAGTTACAGACAGTTCTGAGCCACCATATGGGTTCTGAGAATTGAAGCCTGGGCCTCTGGAAGAACAGCCAGTGCTCTTAATCTCTGAGCCATCTCTCTACCCTGAGTTATTTTTTATCCTCTTGTTCTGTCATCTCAGCTGTGAAATGAAAGTATAATGGTTGGACAGAGTTCAGAGAGGACAAGAATGAACTTTTGGGGAACTGAGGCTGAGCCCTTAGGCTCTCCTTATGTGTCTTCCCTTAACCTCAGTTCTTTTCAAGTGTCTTTGTAAGACTACACAGAACCCAGCCTTCTTCCAGCCATTCGTTTCAATGGCCATTTCCTCAGTGAGGGATGTATGATCAGCAAACAACACAAGACATAGTAGCATGTCAGTCATCAACTGTCACAGCTACTGTGGGTGACTTCTAACTAACAGTTACCATACATACTACCCAGTACCTTTTCTACATTGTTTCTTTAATCCTCACAACACTCTCCTTTGTTCCTGCTATCTGGAAATCACTGCTCCCCACTTATTCTCTTGACTGGATTGGGAGCTTTCAGATCTTAGTTCAAATAGAAGCCTTTCCCTCAGCACCCTAAGATCACACAAGACATACATCACTTGATTCCCTTTCCTTTTTTTCTTCTTTATTGAACTTATTTTTACCCAAGCTTACACGCGCGCACACACACACACACACACACACACACACACACAGAGTATTATTTCTTTTCCTACAGACGCTTCATAAAGGCTTTGTGTGAATTTTCTATCCATCACATAGCCATTAAAATGTAGGACCTCAAGTTTGGAGAGATGGCTCAGAGGTGACTGCTCTTCTAGAAGTCTTGAGTTCAATTCTCAGCAACCACATGGTGGCTCACAACCATCTATGATGAGATCTGGTACCCTCTTCTGGCATGAAGGTACACATACAAGCAGAAGACTCTACACATAATAAATAAAAAAATCTTTAAAAAAACATATATATAATATATATGACCACAACCACAAAGCCAAGGTCCACAACCATTCCTTCTCCCTGTCCATGCAGCTTAGCTTATGCTTACAGCAGCAGGGGTGCTGCTGCTTTTTTGTTGTTTGGTTGGTTGGTAGGTTTTATTTTCTATCTTCTTTGTTTTGTTTTGTTATTGTTTTTTTCTGTGGAGTTGACTTTTTTAAATTCTTCTCTCATATATTACATCCCAACCACAGTTCCCCTTCCTCCTTTCCTCCCAGTCCCTTCCCCTCTTCCACAGATCTGCTCCTCTGTTGCCCTTCAGAAAAGGGCAGGCCTCCCAGGGATATCAACCATATATGGCATATCAAATTGCAATAAGACCAAGTGCCTTCCCTCATTTTCAGAGTCCCATAAGAACTACCTATACAATCATAACATATATGGGAGGGACCTAGGTCAGATCCATACAGGTTCCTTAATTGTTGATTCAGTGTCTTTGAGCCCCTATGACCCTAATTAGTTGATTCTGTGGGCCATTTTCTTTTGGTGTCCTTGACTTCTGACTCCTACAATCCTTCCTCTCTCCTGGAGAATTCCCCGAGCTCTGCCTAATGTTTGGCTGTGGGTCTCTGCATCTGTTTCCAACAGCTGCTGGTTGAAGCCTGACTATTAAACTAGGCTCCAGTCTATGAGCACAGCAGAGTATCATTAGGAATCATTTCATTAACTTTTTTTTTTAAGCCAGTCGTGTTTGGTTCTAAGTCTGTGCAATCCAGTGTGTGGTTCCTGGCATGGGTCTCAAGCTGGACCAATCCCCATTAGATCTATGCCATCTTTACCCCAGCACATATTGCAGGCAGGTCAAAATTGTAGCTCAAAGGTTTGTGGCTGGGTAGGTGTCCTAATCCCTCTACTAGAAGCCTTGCCTGGTTACAGGAGACGGCCAGTTCAGGCCTCTGAACAGGACTCTTTCCCCAACCCCCTAATACTAGGAATCTTTGCTAGGGTCACCCTCATAGATTTCTGAGTTACCTTACCCCCGAAATGTCCCCTAATTCCAGACATTTCTCCCAGTACTCTCTCCCTCCTTCCTACTCCACCACCATATACCTCTTCCCATCCCCATGCACCCCCAGTTCCCATGCAAAATCTATTCTATTTCCCCTTCCCAGAGAGATTGATGTGTCCCCCTTGAGAACTTTTTGATACTTATTTAGCCTCTCTGGGTCTGTGGATTGTAACGTGATTATCCTTTGTAGATAATATCCACTTATAAGTATGTTTGTGTTTCTGATTCTGAGTTAACCTCATTCAGGATAATTTTTTTCTAGTTCCATCCATTTGCCTGCAAATTTTATGTTATTTTTTTTTAATAGCTGGGTAATACTCCATTGTATAAATGTAACACCTTTTCTTTATCCATTCTTCAGTTGAGGGACATCTGTTGTTTCTAGTTTCTGTCTATTAAGAATAAAGCTGCTGTGAATATAGTTGATCAAGTGTCCTTGTAATACGATGGAGTGTTATGCCCAGGAGAGTGGGGTCTTGGGTTAGATGGATTCCCAATTTTCTGAGAAACTGCAATATTCATTTGCAAAGTGGCTGTACAAGTTTGCACTCCCACCAGCAATAAAGGAGTGTTCCCCTTGCTCTACATCCAGCATGTGTTGTCACTTTATTTTGATCTTAGCCATTCTGAAAGGTATAGGATGGAATCTCAGAGTCATTTTGATTTACATTTCATTGATGGCTAAGGTTGTTGCTCGTATAAATAAGTCTGAAAGAGAGAAAGAAAGAAGAAAAAGAAGGAAAGAAAAGAAAAACAAAAAAAAATTTTTAGGCTGGAGAGATGGCTCAGAGGTTGAGAACACTGGCTGTTCTTCCAAAGGTCTTGAGTTCAATTCCCAACAACCACATGGTGACTCACAACCATCTATAGTGAGATCTGGTGTCGGCCTGCAGGCAGAACATTGTATAAATAATAAATAAATCTTAAAAAAAAAAAAAAAGAGGGGGCTGGAGAGATGACTCAGTGGTTAAGAGCACTGGTTAAGAGCACTGTCTGCTCTTCCAGAGGTCCTGAGTTCAATTCCCAGCAACCACATGGTGGTTCACAACCATCTGTAATAGGATCTGATGCTCTCTTCTGTCATGAAGGCATACGTGCAAATAGAGTGCTTCTATGTATAAATAAATAAATCTTTTTTTTTTTTTAAAGAGAAAGAAAGGATGTTGAATGTTTCTTCAAGTGCTTCTCAGCCATTTGAGATTCTTCCGTTGAGAATTCTGTTTAGATCTGTACCCCATATTTAATTGGATTATTTGGTTTGTTAATGTATAGTTTCTTGAACTCTGTATATATTTTTGATATTAGCCTGTGAGATGTGGAGTTGATGAATATCTTTTACTTTTCTGTAGGCTGCCATTTTGTCCTATTGACAGTATCATGAGGCCCCATTTATTAGTGCCTGAGCTGTTGGTATTCTGTTCAGGAACTTGTCTCCTGTGCCAATGAGTTCAAGGCTCTTCCCTACTTTCTCCTCTGATAGATTGAATATGTCTAGTTTTATGTTGATGTCTTCGATCCACTTGGACTTAAGTTTTATGCAGGGTGATAGATATGGCTCTATCTGCATTTTTCTACATGCTGACATCCAGTTAGATACTATTTGTTGAAGATGCTTTCTTTTTTTCCATTGTATACTTCTGGCTTCTTTATTAAAAATCAGGTGTCCATAGGTGTGTGGATTTACATCTTGGTCTTCAGTTTGAGTCCGTTGATCAACTTGTCTGTTTTTATGCCAATACCATGCCGTTTTTATTTCTAAAGCTCTGTAGTACAGCTTGAAACCAGGGCTGGTAATACCTCCAGAAATTCTTTTGGATTGCTTTAGATATTCTAGAGTGTTTGTTTGTTTGTTTGTTTATTGTTTGTTTTTCCTTTTCTATATGAAGTTGAGAATTAGCTCTGTAGTACAGCTTGAAATCAGGGATGATAATACCTCCAGAAATTCTTTTGGATTACTTTAGATATTCTGGCGTTTTTGTTTGTTTGTTTTTCCTTTTCTATATGAAGTTGAGAATTTTCTTTAAGGTCTGTAAAGAATTGTGTTGGAACTTTGATAAGGATTGCAAAAGAATCTATAGCTTGCTTTTGGTAAGATGTCCTTTTTTACTGTGTGAATCCTACTAATCCATTAGCATGGGAGGTCTTTTAATTTTCTAATATCTTCAATTTTGCTCTTCAAAGACTTGAAGTTACTGTCATACAGGCTTTTCACTTGCTTGGTTAGAGTTACTTTAACAATTTTGCATTATTTATGGCTATTATAGAGGGTGTTCTTTCTCTGATTTCTTTCCTAGCCCACTTGTCACTTGTATAGAGGAGGGCTACTGATTTATTTTTATTTTTAGTTATATCTAGCCACTTTGCTCAAGATGTTTATCAATTGCAGGTAGAATTTTTGCGGTCACTTATATATATTATCATATCATCTACGAATAGCAATTCTTTGACTTCTTCCTTTCTGATTTGTATCCCCTTGAGTTTACTGTATTAGCTAGAACTTGTATCCCCTTCAATTGTTTACTGTATTAGCTAGAGCTTCAAGTTCTCTACTGAATAGATATGGAGAAAATGTGCAGCCTTGTGTTGTTTTTAAGTTTAGTGGAATTGCTTTGCCTTTCTTTTTTTTTTTCAAGACAGGGTTTCTCTGTGTAGAGTTGGCTGTCCAGAAGCTTCCTCTGAAGACCAGGCTGGCTTAGATTGGCCTGCTTCTGCTTTCCTAATGCTGGGATTAAAGGACCACCCAGCTTGCTTTGAGTTTCTTTATATTTAATTTGATGTTGGCTATTGGCTTCTTGTAAATTGCCTTTATTATGTTTATTATGTCCCCTGTATCCCTGATCTCTCCAAGACATGTATCATGAAGGGGTATTGGATTTTGTCAGAGGCTTTTTCAGAATCTAATGAGATGATTATGTGGTTGTTTTTTTCTTTCAGTTTCTTTATATGGTGGATTATATTTACTGATTTTCATATTTGAACCATTCCTGCATCTCAGGCAAGAAGCTTACTTGATCATGGTGAATAATCTTCTTAATGTGATCTTGGAATTGGTTTGAGAGTAATTTATTAACTATTTCTGCATCAATGTTCATGAGGGAAATTGATCTGTAATTCTCTTTCTTTGTTTAATCTTTGTATGGTTTGGGTATCAGGGTTACTGTGACATCATAAAATGAATTTGGCAATGTTCCTTCATTTCTCTTTTGTGGAATAATTTGAAAAGTATTGGTATTAGCTCTTCTTTGAACGTCTAGTAGAATTTTGCCCTAAAATTGCCTGGCCCTGGGCTTTTTGGGAGGTTGGGAGACTTTTAATGACAGTTTCTATTTTCTTAGGAGTTATAGATATATTTAAATTATTTATCTGATCTTGATTTCATTTTGGTAAGTGATATTGATCAAGATTCCACTAACCATTTCTTTTAGATTTTCTAATTTTGTAGAATAACAGTGTTTTGAAATATCATCTAATGATGCTGTGGATTTCTTCGGTGTCTGTTGTTATGTCCCCCTTTTCATTTCTAATTTTGTTTTGTTTTGTTTTGATCTTTGTTTCTTCGAGACAGAGTTTCTTTGTGTAGCCCTGGCTATCCTAGGCTTGCTTTGTAGACCAGGCTGACCACAAACTCAGAGATACGTCTATCTCTGCCTCCTGAGTGCTCGGATTAAAAGCATGTGCAACCACCTCCAGGTTCATTTCTGATTTTGTTAATTTGAATATTCTCTCTCTGTTAAATTTGAATAAGGTATTGTCTATCTTGTTCTCAAAGAACCAATTCTTTGTTTCATTGATTCTTTGCATTGTTCTCTTTGTTTCTATTTTATTGACATCAGCCCTCAGTTGATTATTTCCTATTGTCTATTTCTCTTGGGTGTGTTTGCTTGTTTTTGTTCTAGAGCTTTCAGGTATGCTGTTAAGTTGCTAGTATGAGCTCTCCAGGTTTTTGTTTTGTTTTGTGTTATAAACTTTTTTCGTAGTACCACTTTTATTGTGTTCCGTAAGTTTGGGTATATTGTATATTTCATTAAATTCTAGAAAGTCTTTATTTTTTTTCTTTATTTCTGCCTTGACACCGTAGTCATTCAGTAGAGTTGTTCACCTTCTGTGAATTTGTAGGCTTTTTGTTGTTTCTGCTGTTAGTATCCAAGTTTAATCCATGGTGACCTAATAGGATACAGAGAGTTATTTCAGTTTTCTTGTATCTCTGGAGACTTGCTTCATGACCAAGTATGTGGTCAGTATTAGATAAAGTTCCATGAGGTGTTGAAAATGAGGTGTTTGGATGAAATGTTCTGTAGGTATTTGTTAGGGTCATATGGTTCGTAGTGTCTTTTAGCTCTGTTTTTTGTCTGGATGACCTGTCCATTGGAAAGAGTGGGATATTGATGTCTCCCACTATTTATATGTGAGGTTCCATGTGTGATTTAAGTTTTAGTAATGTTTCTTTTACAAATATGAGTGCCGTTGTGTTTGGGGCGTAGATGTTAAGAACTGAGATGTCATCTTGAGAGATGTCATTTCCTTTGAGTATGAAGTGTCTTTCCCCTTCTTGTTTAATTAATTTTGATTGAAAGTCTCTTTTATTAGGTATTATAATAGCCACACCAGCTTGTTTCTTGGCTCCATTTGCTTAGAAAATCTTTTTCTAGCCTTTACTTTGAGATAATGCCTATCTTTGAAGGTGAGGTATGTTTCTTGTATGCAATAGAAGGATAGATTTTGTTTTCACATTCATTCTTTTAGCATGTGTCTTTTTAAAAAAAATAATTTATCTAATTTCTATTTTATGTACATTGATGTGAAGGTGTCAGATCCCTTGGAATTGGTGTTACAAACAGTTGTGAGCTGCCATATGGGTGCTGGGAATTTAACCCGGGTCCTTTGGAAGGGCAGACAGCATTCTTTTTTTTTTTTTTAAGTCTTATTTATTTATTATGTATACAGTGTCCACACATGCAGGCCAGGTCTCATTATAGATGGTTCTGAGCCACCATGTGGTTGCTGGGAATTGAACTCAGGACCTTGAGGAAGAACAGTCAGTGCTCTTAATCTCTGAGCCATCTCTCTAACCCCAGATAGCACTCTTAACCACTGAGCCATCTCTTCAGCCCAGCCTGTGTCTTTTTATTGGGGAATTGAGTCCATTGATATTGAGAATATTAATGACCAATGATTGTCAATTCCTTTTATTTTGTTGTTGTTAGTATGTGTGCATTGATGTGAGATTCTTTTCTGTTTTTATAGGGTATAGTTAACCTCCTTTGGTTGGAGTTTTCCTTCTAGTATCTTCTTTAAGGGCTGGATTTGTGGATGGATGTTGTTTAAATTTGACTTTGTCATGCTTGTTTTCTCCATCCATGGTGATTGAAAGTTTTGCTGGGCATAATAGTCTGGGCTGGCCTCTGTGGACTCTTAGAGTCTGCAAGACATATGTCCAGGTCCTTCTGTTTTGCCACCTTTTTAGTTCCTTCTTGCTTATGGAACGTAACCTATTCTACTTAAACAATAAATCCTTATTCCCTTAAAGGTATTAATAATTTTATTTATGTGAAAGTTAGAGATGACAGATGTAAAAGCATTTTAATATAAGTACCAGCTCAGTAAATAATTAGTAAATTTAAATAGTCGCCTGAGCAGACTCTCATCCACGTATCTCCTTAAAGTGTTTATATGCCAGGCCTGGTTGTACACACCTTTAATCCCAGCAGTTGGAAGACAGAAGCAGGAAGATTTCTCCAATTTCAAGGCCAGGCTGGTCTACATACTGAGTTCCAAGCCAGCTAGCGCTACACAATGAAATTCTGACTCTCAAAACAATAACCTAAAAAAAAGTTGATGGGCCAGCTGCTGCTTGTCTTTAAGCAGTCCTACAAGTGAGTTTATCAGCTGCAGCACAGTTTGGTACCTAGGATTCATGGCTGCAGTGATAGATTACAACTGATAAACTGAAAGAAAGCATCCCCAGAGCTGCCCCCAACAAAACTACCAGAGAACCTGCTACAGGTATTGCTGCTTGGTTGTATACTATGGTTGTATGGTAAAGCCTGATGGTGAGCTGTATGTAAATCGGAAAGTACATCATGTCAGTGTTACGTAGTGAGCATTGTGATCAATTAGGAAATATATTGTCTGACAATACACCAGTATGATTTAGGCTCCTGGTATGTACATTGCCAGAAGGACTTTAGTCCTGTTCTAAAAGATAATAAAAAAAAAATAATGAAAGATCTTTTTGTTAGTTTTTTTCAAATTCCTGAGTATAAAAAGTTCCTGATTTAGGCTGGAAAGATGTCTCTGTGTTAGAAACACTTGCTCTTGCAGAGGACCCAGGTTTTGTTTTCAGTACCTATATAGTGGCTCACAACTGTCTGTAACTCTAGTTCCAGGGTATCCAGTATTCTTTTTTGGCCTCTGTGGGTACCAGGCACAGATTGGTTGAAATGCATACATGCAGGCAAAACACTTGTACACTTTTTTTTTTTTTTTAAAGGTTGCTGTTTTGCATGACTTCATAGGGTTTGTTGGGTCAAGAGAGTAAGGAAGCATCATTTTTATTGGTCACCTCGTTGCAGCCGTTTTGCTTTTTTAACATATTTGTATACAAGCAGCAATTCTGCCTATCTTCTTTCCAAAGATACCCTCCCATCCTGTTGATGTTCTGCCCTGTCTTCAGTGTGGTAACAGCACACTTCCTTTTTGCAGGTTGAAGATGAGCTCAGTTCTCCAGTAGTGGTGTTCAGATTTTTCCAGGAATTACCAGACTCAGGTAGGTGATTTAAAAAAAAAAAAAAAAAAAAAAATTGGTGCCAGGTGCAGTGGTGCATGCTTTTAATCTCACTGCTTGCGAGGCAGAGGTAGATCATTGTGAATTTGAGGCCAGCCTAGTCTATAGAGTGAGTTTCTGTCTTGAAAAACCAAAATGTGTGTGTGTTTAAACTTAATATCATATGAAATTAAATAGGTGGTTATATGTTCTAAAATCTTCAGTCATTATAGAAAAGTATAACAGTTTCCACAAGCAAGCATGCTAGTTCTCAGTGCCTGTAACTAAACCAAGGACTCCCAAATACCATCACACAGCCTTGCTGAGCTAGCTAGAGTACATAGTGCTTTGTACATAGAGTACCTGTATTTTGTTCTCAAAATTGCTTTATAAGGAGAATGACTTTTTTATAAATGTAAATAAAGAAGTGCATTTCTAGACATGTTTTTAGGAATTATGTAGTGAAGAAAAAGTGTTAGGGCATTAACCCTGCTATTCTGTTAAGTTTTTATCCCCTAAGATTTGTAGCACTACTTCTCTAGTGTTTTGATTTAGGAGGATAGATCCAAGAGTGACCTAGTATGTCTGTCTCCTGTATCCCCTTCTCCCCTCTCGCTCTTTCTCCCCCCTTTCCTCCCCTTCTTTATTCTCATTCTGGCTAGCCTGAAACTTGCGATATAAAACAGGTTGGCCTCAAACTAACAATCCCCCTGCCTATGCCTCCTGAGTACTGGGATTAAGAATCTGTTATAGCCTGGTAAGTAGCACACACTTATAATCCCAGCACCAGAGGACAGAGGCAGGCGATTTCTGAGTTTGAGATCAAGTTCTAGAACAGTCAGGGCAACACAGAGAAACCCTGACTCAAAAAAAAAAAAAAAAAAAATCTCTCTTTTTAAAGGGACCTGCCAGTGTGTTAACACACACCTTTAATCCCAGCACTCGGGAAAGCAGAGGCAGGCAAATCTCTGTACGTTCGAAGCCAGCCTGGTCTACAAAGTGAGTTCCATAACAGCCAAGGCTACCTATATAGAAACCCTGTCTCAGAAACAAAAACAAAACAAAAAACAAGAATGGACCATGTTGGGGATAGAGCAGTTTCTAGCATACAAATGGCAGTAGTTTTAATCCTCAATACTACAAGAAAAAGAAAGGAAGGGAAGGTAAAGAAAAGAATGACAAACATGCCACCAGCCTACTCCAAGGCACATTAGTTTTCATCTAGATGACACTGACATTCCCACATTGCACATAGTCCCCTCCAAGCAACTCTGCATGACAATGAGTGAACATTACAAGTCACATAAGCCTGCTCATAGCCATCAGCATCTTGATTTTACAGCTGAGTCAAGTCCAGGGCTTTATACTGTGCCCACAGGGCTCTGCCTCTTTTCTGATCCCTGCTTCCTTCTGCTCATTGTGCTTTGGTCAAAATGGTCTTTGCCTTTTTCTTAAAACACACTGCTCTTTCCTTGCATGTTGCTGTGGCACTGCTGTTCTTTCTGCCTCAAATGTCCCTTCATCTGTCCCTACATAACCCTTCATTGTTTTCTTTCTCATTTTTCTTTGAGACAAGCTCTCACTCTGTAGACTGGGCTAGCTTTAAACCTGTAGCAGTCCTGCTTCAGAATCCCTCTACTTCTTATTACTGTTTCCACTAAATGCCCACCTTCCCCTCTGCCAGAGCCCCACCTTTCTTCAATGGTTTTGGCTTGATATATAGTGATTTTTGTTCTCTTTATGGCATATTTACATTTTTTTGTTTTCTTTTGAAGTTCCTTGAAAGCAAACTTTCGCTCTTTGTTTTTGTTTTGTTTTCTCCTGGGGCCCTGGCTGGCCTTGAATTAAAAACAACCGTCTGGCCTTAGCTTCACCAAAGGTTGAGACTGTAGATGTGCACCACCAAGCTAGTGTTGAAAGCAAATTTTTTAAAAAAGAAAATTAAGAATCTAAGAAATTCTAAGTCAGGCAGTAGTGGTGCATGCCTTTAAACCCAGCACTTGGGAGGTGGAGGCAGGTACTTTCTGAGTTTGAGGCCAGCCTGGTCTACAAGAGCAAGTTCCAGGATAGGGAAGGCTACAGGAGAAGCCCTGTCTTGAAAACCAGAAACAAACAAACAAACAAAAACTATTCAATGTATTGAGAAGTTACTTAGTTCATCAGAAAACTATAGGACATTGATCTTTCAGACATTTTGATTTCATTAATATATGATGCTATTCTTAAGGGTTCACATTGGCATCTGCATGAAATGGGATTGAGTTGTAATGTTTATTGTAGTCTTGTTTCTGGGAGTGAATCCCTTCTGTGTTTGGCCTCAGATCCAGCGTTTAAAGCTGTCACTGTATCCAACATATCACCTGCAGCAGTTGGCCGAGAGAGACACTCCTTTGATGCACTGAACCGCTGGGTAAAGATAGCTGCTGTTTACTTTTTCTTCTTTACATCTGGAACAGTGTCACCTTGCCTCACACCTGCTCTAACATGGTCATGTGTAGTTAGTCATATCCACAGGAAGGAACTTCATATCTTCACAGGAAGAGAATACACCAGGGTTATTCTCTTCTGAATCAGATCATTACCTCAGACACTGTCACCTAGCAAACCCCTCACTTTCCTTCTGTGACCATTTCCTAATTGCTATATAAGACAATAAAATAGCACATAAAGCCTGGCTCACAATAGTACCTCTGCTTTGGGCAGGAAGAAAGTGTCTAAAAGCTGGGCATGGTGGCACACACCTTTAATCCCAGCATTTGTGAGGCAGCGGCAGGTGGATCTCTGCGAGTTTGAGGCCAACCTAGTCTACATAGTAAGTCTCAGGACAGCCAAAGCTCCATAGTAAGACCCTGTCTCAAAAACAAAACAAAAGAGTACATCAGAAGGAAAAGGTGTCCCCTGAGAACCTGTGGCCAACAGGCAAAGTAGGCCAGCATTCTGCTCTAATAGCTTTCTGGACATTGAAGTATAGTACCTCCAGATTTTAGAATTTTTAAGTGTTCTTAATAGGGTAAAGATGTTCACAGGAGTATCATTTCCTGGGCTCTAGTGAATAAGATATAATACATTCATACAGTGTCATTCAAAACAGATATTATAAACCTATAGCCAGATATTTAAAACAGATGGACAATGATCAGCACAAATTAGATGGAAAAAATGCAGGTTATTTGGGCTTGTTAGGTGGCTCTGTGGTAAGGAGCTTATACAAGCATGAATACCTGAGTTCAGATTTCCAGCATTAATGTAAAAGAAATAGCCAGGCACGCACAGCAACATGCCTACAATCTAGCACTAGGAAGGCAGAGAAAAAAAGCTCTGGGAGTTCACAGAACTGACAGTATAAACAAATTGATAAGCTACAGTGTCAGTGATGAGAGGCCTTGTCTCAGAAAGTAAGGTGGGAGAGTGACTGAGGAAGAACCCAGCATTGATCTCTGACCTCCACATACTCATGCGCACACACAAATGTGTGCCTTCATGCACACATACAAAGAAAAAGAGTAGATTTCTCAAGTGTATAGAATACCATGTTTTGTTATAAACGCAGAGAAAAGACCCTGAGAAATAAATCAGATGTCAACAGTCAAGTGTTAGATAGTATGTTGCAGGTCATTTTTACTTCATATTTTTGGCTTAACTGTATTGCATGTTTTTCTAAAATGAATTTGTATTTGGAATAACATAAAATGAACTGATAATTGGAAGAGGATGGGCAAAGTTCCCTGGGTTCTCTTCCCAGTACTGGAAACAAGAAATTGCTGCTAAGTATTGAAAAATACCCTAAAAAATAAGGGGAACTAGCTCCAGAAGCCGCTTAAGTCTGCGATGAGGGGATGAGGGTGGGTGGTGAGGTTATTTAAGTCCACTGTTGCAGGAATGTTCTCTCTCCTTTTCCCTATAGCTAGGAGAACAGTTAAAACAGTTGGTGCCTACGTGTGGCCTCACTGTCATAGACCTGGAGGTAGATGGCACATGTGTGCGATTCAGCCCTTTGATGACCGCAGCAGGTAAGGCAATTGCAGCTCTGCCCCTGTGGCTAGAGCAAAAACAGTTCCATCATATCTGCTGATGGCCAGCAGTTGGATGATTAGGTTTCTCTTAGGATATTCCGCTCTTCTGGAGTTTGCAGAATCACTCTTTGAAGGAGGTTTTCTTTTCTTTTTCGATTTTTCAGGGTTTCACCATGTAACCACCCTATCTGTCCTGAAACTATAGGCTAGGTTGGCTATTTCTGAGCTCACAGAGATCCGCTTGCCTCTGCCTTCAGCACTGGGATTAAAGGCTTGCACCACCACTCTCAGCTGAAGAAGCTTTTCTTTCAGGCTAAATTTATGTTTCAGTAAATAACATCTCAGTAAGAGTGTGAGACATATGGAACCACTGAATTCCTGTCATGTGTATTTCAGTTTTTGATTTTGGTTACTTCTCATGTCCAGGTGTACATGTGAGTAACCTGTGGAGCTTTAAAATCTTTCAGCACTCACAGATGGTGTGTGGCAGTATGCACAAAACCTGCACAGGTTCAAGTCAAACAGGGTCCCAGTACTGAGAGTGTAAGTAGACACAGGGGATTCGTATCTGTTGCTGCCTTTATTTTACTCTTTTTATTTTGGTTTCTTATACCTCTTATGCCCTTCCAACCCCCTGACCATAGGTAGGAGAGAAAGTTAGAAGGGAGAGGGGGCATAGTTCTCTTTAGCTACCTCCAGCTGTTAGTGTAGTAGGGTTCTTTGGGGTAATACCAATCTCAGGCTTCAGAATATCCAGCAGTTCAATGAACCAGCAGCCGCCTTCTTCCTTTGACTGTATCTCCAAAGCAGCCTCTTCCTCTCTCTGGACTGTGGTATTTATATACCCTCTCAGAGTCCTCAGAATTAAACTAAATGCAGCTGGCAAAGCTCACATCCCTTCCCGAGCCAAACAAAGCTAGTATCTGCTGTGGGTTAAGTAAAGCCCCAAATCCCACAGCTTGAGTTTAAAACAAAAACATGTTTATATAAGATAACTGAGTTTTTTAAAGAAACTAAATCTTTTGTTACACCTGTCCCCACCTCCTTCACAATAAAATAGGTACCTGCTGGCAAAAGGAAAACCAGCATCAGCTACACTTCACGTGCCAGCAAGTAATTGGCCAACACAAAACAAATTCAAAACAGTGGTATCTTTGTGAACATTGGATTCCCTTTTGGTTTGTTTTGAATTTTTTTTCTTATTGATCTTTTGTTGGTTTTGATTTTAATTATTTGTGGTGGAGGGGACAGTTTTTTGGGGTTTTTTTTTTTTCCTCTCATTTTTGCTTTTATTTGTTTTGAAAGAGAACATAAAGATGTATGGGTAGGGAGGTGAGAGGATCTGGAGGCATTAGGAGGAAAACATGATCAATTTTTTTTTTTTTTCAATAAAAAGACCTCCCCCCCAGCACAAACCAACCAACCTATCAGCAGCCATGCTACCTCCAGAGTTCTGACACTATGTCATGGAATGGAGCTTAGGCATGCTTTTATTTTAGTTTTTTGCATCTTTGATAGTAGATATTCAATAGTATATGTTTAAGGTGTGTAATATGTTTTTATACGCATAATGAAAGATGAAAATGTGTAAGACAAATTATAGGGAAGGGGCACAGTTTCCATAACGTCTGTCATGTCACCCTCCAGAAGTTCTTAGACACTGACACTTTTAAAAGTTGCCTTGGGGATTCTAATAGAGTAGAGCCACTGTTTTAGACATTGCATAGAACAGTGTAGTTGAAGTTGTGAAATAAAAAAACAGAAGATGGGATGCGTCTTTTCGGTCACTAATAAAACAACAGCTAGACAAGAGAAACAAGATAGACAAGAAAAACAAGCTCTTTGTTCTGTTGCATGGTAGATGACGAGAGGTTAACAGTAGTGCACTAAAAAGCTATTAGAAGACATTGAATATCTTCTCCACAAAGAAATGGTAAATACTTGAAGAGATAGTCTTTTCCCAGATTTGATCTTTCATGGTTTGTCCATGTATCAAGATACATATTTACAAGGACCCTGGTAGCTTGTAAATATGTAGTTTTTCAGTGCTTCTTTTCTTTGAAACAGAGACACATTTTATACCCTTGACAGGCCTAAAACACTCTGTAAACCATGTTGGTTTTGAATTCTCAAGAGATCTGCCTGCCTCTGCCTAAGTGCTGAAACACATGTAATCCCAGAACTCAGGGAGGCAGAGGCAGGCAGGTCTCTTTGAGTTCAAAGCCAGCCTGGCCTACAAAAGCGAGTCCAGGGCAACCAAGGCTACAAAGAGAAACCCTGTCATGAAAAACCAAAAGAAAAAAAAAGGTTTTGGTGATTTTGGTCATCATTTTTGCAAATAAATTTTCCCAAGCTCCTCAAAATGAGAAAATTTGCCCTGCAAAGAAAAGGCAGCCTCTACTCCAGCCCTGAAGACAGTGTTGGAAGCTGGCAGAGAACACACGAGGCAGTACCTGTGAGCCCAAAGGAGAAGGGATGGTAGACTTCCAAGACTCCCATACCTCCAAATTCCTGAGACCTCTAAAATTGACTTGGCATGACATGGTGTATCTTGAGAGGCGCCCTGCCCCCTTCCTCATGTCTCAGATAGAAACCCACCAAAACATTCCCTTCTGTTACCATCTACATATAAATAAAAAACCCTGTCTTGTTAAAGTTTTAACCTGTGACAAGACGTGTACCCTGAGTCAGGCCTTCTGTGAGAAAATGGCTTCTACAAAGCAGCCGATTTCCCTGGAGCAGCAACTGGGTTAAATTGTTGTTTATTTCTTCATTATTTGTATGGCTTTTTTTTTTTTTCCATTGTGTAGGATGGGCACGTACATGTAGAAGTCAGAGGGTTTATAGGACTTTGTTCTCTCATACTTCTCTACCATGTGGGCCTTAGGGGTCAGATTTGGTGGCAAGCACCTTTACTACTGAGCCCTGTCAGCCCAACCTTTAAAAATTTGTTTCTGTGTGTGCATGTGGAAGCCAGAGGTTGACACCAGGTGCCTTTTATTTCTGACCACCTTATATTTTTTAAAACAGAGTCTTTTGCTTAATCCTGGAGCTCACTGAGCTGGCCAGTGACTTTAGGGATCCTCTAGTCTACCCTTCCCCAGTACTGTGATTAAAAGTATATACCATAACACCAAATATTTTGTGTGATGATCCTTGGGGATCCAAACTCTGGTCATCATGCTTGTACAGCAAGCACTTCACCAAAGGAACTATCGCCCCAGCCCCAAGTGTGTTAGTTTTTGTCACCTGATTCTTCCATAGGAACATGGAACAACTTTAAAAAAATTTTTAAGTCAGGTATAACAGCTCATGCCCATAGTTCCACTACTTTGGAAGTTGAGGCAGGAGGATTGCCATGAGTTAAAGGCCAGTCGCAACTGCAGGGTGAGTCTCTGTCTCAAAAAAACAAAAACAAACCTAAACAAAACAAAAACCCAAAAAACTTTCCAGCTAATACGGAGAGCTTTTGACCTTTGACCTTGTTAGTAGTAAAAGAGAGTCTCCATGCTGATTCAAGTCATTCTTGAATTATTTCTCAACCATTCTGTGGGTGTTTTTAGTGTTAGGAACTAGAGGAGAAGATGTGGATCAACTCATCAGCTGCATCCAAAGCAAACTGCCTGTGCTGACCTGCACGCTACAGCTACGAGAAGAGTTCAAGCAGGAGGTGGAAGGGATGGCAGGCCTCCTGTATGTTGATGACCCCAACTGGCCTGGAATCGGGGTTGTCAGGTAGTGATTTGGCTTGCTACATGATGTGAAGGATTGCTTTATTAAAGCACAAGTGGGTCCTGTTACTTACATATCCAGGTGGAATATATTTGCTAAGACCTCACTGGGATGCTCTGGGTATTTACAAAGGCCTGATATGGACAGATAGTTTGGTCCACCATTGGGCTCAGTGAGTCAGGGATCACTTTGTACCATGTGCTTGTGCTAATTCACAAGTGCCCAAGGACAACACATGGTGGACAAATGGGTACTATATGGAATGTACAGAGTTACAAATAAGTAAGCCTGGTTTCAGGGAGAGGGCTATATTGACCTCACTGTCTTCTGGCCACCTTTCCTCTCATTGTTTCCTTTTTCTTTGTAAACATAAGACACACACACACACACACACACACACACACACCCCGACTCGTTTCCTGGGCCAGTCTGAGGTCTTACGACGTTATTGAAGATGGTGATTGTTTTAATCATAACATAATGGTTCCTCTTTGCATTTGTAAGTGTTCATCTCTAGAAGTTTATGCCCCACCTACATAAACTCTTCACCTGTCTGAAGAGATTCTCAATCTTATACTTGTTAACGCTGCCTGATACTTTTAGGTATGAGCATGCTAATGACGATAACACCAATTTGAAGTCTGATCCAGAAGGGGAAAAAATACACACTGGACTTCTAAAAAAGTTAAATGAACTGGAATCTGACCTCACATTTAAAATGGGTAAGAACAGTATTTCTAAGTCACTGTGAACTAGACCATGTCTAAGTGGCTTAAGGATGATGCTTTTCATTACCACAGAGGTGGGGAGCTCTGGTTAAAGATCAGCTGAAGGTGAAGTGTCTCTCATAATGTCTCCCTCCCTCTGTAGCTTCCCAGTTTTCCTTTCCTATATCATAGTCTTCTTCCTCTTTCAAGGAAGTGGGCCCCTTTGATCATCTCACAGTCAGGAAGTACCTGATCTGGGCCTCCAATTGGTCTGAGGACTTGGGAGCCAGCCTTGCCTCTTTCTTCCCCCAGGCCCTGAGTACAAAAGCATGAAGAGCTGCATTTACATTGGCATGGCAAGTGATGATGTGGATGTTTCTGAGCTCGTGGAGACCATTGCAGTCACAGCCCGGGAAATTGAGGAAAACTCAAGGGTCTGTAAAACTAATCAGTGTTTTATGTCTTTTTTGGGTTTGAGATGGGACACTGGGGGAATATGTTTCTTTCATTCTTTCCCAAATGTTGGTTTCCTGTGAGCTAGGTCTTATACCAGGCATGAGGCCTTATACCAAGTGGCTTTGAACAGTTGCTGCCCCCATTGACCTCACCAGGCAGTGTGGGGGAAGAGCAATGCACAACCAAGCAGTGTAGCAAGTGCTTGTGGCTTAGAGTAGCTGAGCTTTTAGGGACTTGCTCAGTTCTGCAGTACATTAGGTGAGACTTCCTGAAAGTAGCTAGTCCTAAGGACAAACAACACAGGTGTCAGGTAGCATGGAAGAACAGCTTACAAGGCTAGAGGACAGATTCCAACCCAGCCTTGCCTGAATGCAGACAGAGATGCATGTGCTACAATTCACTTTGGGGTAGGGAAGGAATGAGGAGCTGGCTGCATTCACTGTTGGTTAGACTTTGGGTTTTTCCTAGGCTTGGCTACTCTGACTTTCGCTCAGCATTAAACTGTGCTGGCTACTCATTGATAAAACATTCAGAGCGTAACAAGTTATTTCTCTTTGGCAAATGAGGCTAGGCAACAAGTTATATCTGCTTGGGTCTGCATGAGCTTTCATCTTCTCTTGTTTAATTTTCTATTTAACTTTTGCTCAGGTATTTCAGTGCAGAATTCCAGTTGCTGACATACTTCTGGAAAGTGTCACCAATGCTGTTGACTGTGTAAACAGTTGTAGGCCCTGGGCAAGCAGCTTAGACAAACATTATCTTTCTTGGTTTTGCAGCTCCTAGAGAACATGACAGAAGTCGTTCGGAAGGGGATTCAGGAGGCTCAGGTTCAACTACAAAAGGCAAATGAGGAACGACTTCTGGAAGAGGTGGGTTCCTATTGGAACTTTCCAGGCTGGTGTCTTGCTGGAACAGGCTCAGCAGGCAATTTTCAACAAGGGTTATATTTTGCAGGGTGTGTTGCGGCAGATCCCTGTAGTAGGATCCGTACTGAATTGGTTTTCTCCAGTGCAAGCTTCACAAAAGGGAAGAAGTTTTAACCTAACAGCAGGTAGGACTTCTGAGTGGTCTGTGCCTAGATCTGTTATTTCAGATTTCAATGAAATCCCTTTAGCTCCTAGTGCCGTTCATGCTTTCATGCCCTGAATTCTCTGCCAAGAATCTGAAATGAAGCAGTCTGCTCCTACTGCCACATCATGCTCCCAGTTCCTGCTGAAACAGTGAGAAAGCAAGTAGACACTCTGCAGTAGCTCTTCCTTGGATCAATGAGAACATGCCTGGCCAGCTGGCCGGCTTCTGGGGGCAGTGCACCATGGACACTGGCATAATTGTTGATTCCCTGAAGCCCTCCTGAGTATTCTGAGTAGGACAGGGCTCCTTCTGAAAGTGGAACCTAATGATCATAACACAAAGCATTAAACATTTTATTTTAAACCAGTGACTAGCAGCATTACCAATTTGCCTTTCCTACACTACCAAAAAAAAGTTGCTCTCAAATTGTGATGTTCCTTCCTTTGTTCCTTCTCCAGAAAATAATGGCTAGATTCTCAGAATAGCCAAAAATCATTAGATTTTCCTGGTATGGTGGCACAAGGATATAATCCTAGCATTCAAGGAGGCAGAAGCTGGCAGATCGGGATATAAGAGACTTTGTATCCATGAACACCATGGATACACCATGAACAAGGAATGTTTTATCTGTCAGACCTCATTAACAGACCTCCATTAACAGGAGCATCTGCTCGCTCTTGCTGAAGTGCATTTCCCAGCACATACATACTGAACATTCCAGGAACTTAGAGGAATTTGGGGAGAGATGTGAGCAGCTTCAGGAGAGCTGAGTGGCTGGTAGACCTGCTTAGGACACAAAGCCAATTGAGGAAAGTGACATCTTAGGATGCTTGTGCCAGGAGCTCTTGCCCACTCCTTTCTTTTCCTGACAGGCTCTCTGGAGTCCACAGAATACACATATGTCTACAAAGTACAAGGTACAGGAGTGACACCACCTCCCACACCCTCAGGCACTCGAAGCAAACAGAGACTTCCAGGTAGGTTAAAACTCTCCATAGTTCACCCTCATTAATAGAAGAAAACCAATTCTATTCCACTTAGGGGATGGACTCTACCTGCTGTTGAGATTCCTCATTTGTTATTCCTTATGTTCCTTTGTTTTCTTTAATCCAAAATTCTGTTCCCTTTACTGAAACAACCATTCAGGTACCTGAGATATATCCCCAAAGAAATGCCTCCATGGTACTCCAAAGGCAAGCATTAATTCCAAGGTGTTGACTCCCGTTAGGGTCACCACAGGACAGAAGCACCGGCCTAGGAAGCATTTTAGTGTCACAATGTTCTTTAGTTCCTGACTCAGCTCTGTAGTGCTTCCAAGCCAAAATTCCAGCATCCCTGCCAAATCAATAACCATGTAGCACAAGTGCCTTTGCTACAGGATATCCCACCAGTTTCAGCATAGTTCATTTTATGTCTCTAGGTCAGAAGCCTTTTAAAAGATCGCTGAGAGGCTCAGATGCTGTGAGTGAGACCAGCTCAGTCAGCCACATTGAAGACCTGGAAAAGGTGGAACAGCTGTCCAGTGGGCTAGAGCACAGCAACCTAGAGGCCCACTGCCCCGAGCAGCCCCTCAAGGCTCCTGCCCCCACGGCCAGACAGACTGAGGCCCTGCAGAACAAGGCCCAGCATCCGGAAGATGACCACTCACAGGTAGAGGAGCTGGAGCGCTTAAGATAAAGCTCAGTAGTACTGGGCTCGAAGCTGTATTGACTATTGTTTCAGGGAAGATGACGTTTTTATTGAAAATGTGAACTGTGCCACAAGCTAGTATGATAGAAATTGCTGTTGTTTGTGCTAAACTGGGAGTTTTGCACAGACACGTCAGAAAACCAGACTTCTCTGGGGGAGGTGTGGGCAATTATTTTATGTGTAAGTAGAACAACCGACAGTTGACTCTTTTGGCCTGCCCGAGGCATACCCTTTCTTCCTGTACCATAAACATTTTGTACTGAGAGAACATGTGGACTTCAAGCACCTGCCACTTGGAACACTGCTCTCTCTCCAAACTTACTTGTGATTAGGCCACTGCATACAATGACTCTCCAGGTTCTCCTCCATGCTTCTGTCTTAGCTCTGTAGTTTGGTCAAGTTGTGGTAGATGCCTGTCTCACTGAGTGGCATCAGGGAATGGGTTTCAATAGGACCCTGAGTAAGAGCACTATAAGTCCTCTGCTGCTGTCCCCACTGCTCCTTTTCCTGGAGCCTAAGGATGGACTGTCCACATGAGCCATGGCACTAGAACTGTCCCCTGCTGTCCCCTTTTCCCCCTTTGTTAAACAAATTTAAGGACTCAACTATTAATAGTAACTAACTATAAGATCTCTTCCTGACCATATTTAAGTATCTTTTTAAACACTGGTAAAGCTTTTAAGTTGGTACCCAGTGTGTACTGTTTATGTCTACTTAGGACAGAAAAGCCCTCTGGAGGCAACCATGAGGAGCCTAATGTCTGCTGTGCAGCACGGTAAAGGCTGAAGCAAGCAAGCCTTTCACCTGTTTCTCAAGATGTGGCTGTAGCTTCTCTTCTACTTGAAGCTCATCCTGGGCCCAGCTCAGAAAAGAGCCAGAGAAGTTGCCTCTTCCAGGCTAAGCAGCCAGAGCTTGCTGCCTAATTCCCGTCCATTTCTGTTTCCCAAGTACTGTGTCACTCGTAGTACTCTTAAGATGACCCACCCCGTGCCTTTTTAGTTCCTAAAAGTCAAACAGTGGAAGATGCTAAGAGGATGGGCCTGTGGATTGTAGTGTTGGAAGCCTTAGTTATACCACATTAAGCCTATAAGTACACTGATTTGATGTGATTTTTGACAGTTGCCACTTGTCAAAATGCAATCTTTCCCTTTTTTGGGTGCAAATGATTAAATACAGTCTTCCCTGTTTATTCGGTGCAATGAAGTATAGCAGGTGACATGGGGGAGGGGTAAATTATCACCTTTAACAAGATTGATTTTTAAATGCTTTTATACATTTGGAATTGTTACCTGGTTTTGCTGCAACAGAATTTTACCTTGAGACACTATCTGATGTTGGCTTAAATAAAGGCTCTTGAACTTGCTACCTGTGAATGTAGTGTAAATCTTACTTTTCTTCAGAAAGCATAAAGTTTCTAAAAGTAACTTAAATACCCAACTAGGGTATTTAAGGTACCTATCTTAGGATCATATGTGAAAGCATCTCTAGCTTTCTGGGGTTCAGATTGATTTGACCTTCCAGGAGCTTGTCCAAAGGTAGTTAAGCTCAAATGAGTTTAACTGTTTCTTTCTGAACCTTGCCTAGAGCAGAGCAGTTTTGATAGGAAGTTTTTTGTTAAGATTATTTATACAGTATTCTGCCTGCACATCAGAAAAGGGTACCAGATTTCATTATAGATGGTTGTGAGCCACCATGTAGTTGCTGGGAATTGAACTCAGGACCTTTGGAGGAGCAGCCAGTGTTCTTAACCTCTGAACCATCTCTCCAGCCCCTGATAGGAAGTTTCTAAAAGTAACTTTTGAATAAGGAGTTTTTTCTGAGCAAGTTGTCTCTGAAGTCTCTGCCTACTCACCAGTGAGGTTAATGGTGTTCACTTTGTAATGAAGCAAAAGCAAAAAAAAAAAAAAACAAAAATTACCTAAACAAATGCCTTTGCCAAAATAAGATTTTATTTTGAAAGACAGTGAGGCAGGAAGTAAAACTGCACAAGTGTAGATCCCAAAAAGTTGTGTTCTTTGGTAACTGATGTGATGTTAGCTCCCTGGAGAGGAGATCTTTTCCCATAAGCCAGCTTCATTTTTTCTGTAGAGGAGAGCTTTATTTCCAGGAAACAGTGAATTCTCTGGAGATGGGAATTTTTTTAAAAACATCAAGGTAGATCTAATATGTTCAACAAAGTGGGGAGGCTCGGCCAGAGGAGAAGTGGAAAGGTTCTGAAAAGACAAGATGGTGGGTATGAGAGGGCTAGGTTGAACCTGGCTCACAGTGTGAGAGTAGCTTTGGCTGCACACACATTCACCCAGCTAGTTTTAGTGTGGCGCCTCTGTACAGCTGCCGAGTTGCACACATTTCACTGCTTACTGCTTCACCTGGATAAACAAACAGCTGCCCCACTGCCGTAAAAGTTAACAGAGTCTGCCAATGGCAACAGAAAGTCAGTCTCACCCATTGAAGGAGAAGCAGCTACTAGCTGGTCTAAACCCTTTTTTCTTACAGATGGGGAAACCAGGGTCCAGAGATTTAAGATTTAGCCAACTTGTAAATTCTCACCTCTAGTATTTGCTTGTCATCTTGCTGCAACCAGAAATCCACATGTGGAAATGGCGTCCAGGAATACGGGCCTATTCGAAGTTGTTCTGTCTTTGCATCATAAATGCTAATCATCTAAAAGAACCATTTCCATGACAGGCTGTAAGGACACTGCCCTACCACTGCTGTCTAGTTCCCTTAGCTGATAAGCTGCACACATTGACCTCCCGTCATAACAAAGCTGCTGCCACCTGTGTGTGGTCATGTACGTTGCTGTGTTCGGTCTTCATGGCAAGCCTACAAGAAGACAGCATCCTGCCCTTTAAGGGGAAACTGATGGTGAGAGAGTTCCCAAGTCACACATGGTCCAGTGAGCATCAACAGGGCCTCAAAGCCAGGTAGGTCTGACTAAAGCGTGTACTCCTCATGGCTGCACACAATACTATACCTCCTTATTCCTACCCCAAGCAGCTAGTTAGCATGCCAAAGAAACGGGCACAATGCCTGCTGCCTGCATACGACAGCTCACACTCGCCATACTCAAGGGGCTGAGGCTGAACCCAAGGGAGATCACATTGGGTTCCAGTCAGCCTGGATGACAGAGTGAGGCCTTGTCTCACAAAAAAAAAAAAAAAAAAAAAAAAAAGTAAAAGTAAGGTTTAGAGGGTTTGGTTTTGGTTTTGTTGCTGTCAGTCTGTTTTTGAGACAGGGTCTGACTGTGGTAGACCAAGCTGGCCTCAAACTCAGATCTGCCTGACTTAAAAGTATGCACCACCACACCTCCCCTGGTTTTATGATTTCAAGGACTCTCATGTAGCTCAGGTTGGCCTCAAACTGATCTTCCCGCCTCACCTACCAAGTGTGGGATCACAGGTGTGTGCACCACAACAACTGGCTCTGTAGAAGCTGATTGGCCAAAACACCCCATTCCTTGAATTCTCAAATTATGCCATCAATAATTTTCAGCTTTGAAGGAGCTACTCGGTCTGCACTATATTCTGGCTATGAACTAAATAACAAAAAGAATACTAAAGTAAGTTACAGGACAGCCTGTCTCGAAGAAGAAAAGAAAAAGAAAACCAAGCTGGTCTTGGTAGTTGATAATCCAAGCACTTGGTGGAAGTTATGCAGAAAGCTTGCCACAAGTTCCTAGGCACCCTAGGCTACACAGCAAGACAATATAAAACACAGAAATTCTTAAAGGCCAAATTAAGCCTCCTGAAAGTGGTAAGAGACTGCAAACAAACATCTGACACTAAACATCTTCTTACTGAGATGTTAGTGCTAAACAAACAAGCAGACTCCCAGGCTTGCTGGGGCATGGGGTGCTGGCACATATGTGAGGCCAGAGGTCCATGCTCTTGTGTCTTCGGTTGCTTTTGAGACTGAGACAGGGTCTCTTACTAAAGCTGAAAATACAGATTCAGCAAGACTGGCTGGTTGGAAACCTCAGTGATCAGCCTGACTCTCTCTCTCTCTCTCTCTCTCGGACCAGGACTGGATGTACACACCAAGGCCATTTTGGTTTTTGTCTAGTGCTCATGGGAGAAGGTTTGAGATATTTGGGTGTCTGTATACTCTGATGTATACCAGCATCTTATGTTGGTGCAATGGATCATGCTTACATAGCAAGGCCATTGCCTAATAAGCCAGTTCTCCAGTTCCTGTTTGGTTTCTTTTGAAAAAAAAAAAAGAAAGAAAGAAGAAAGAGAAAGAAAGGAGAGAGAGAGAAAGGAGAGGAAGGAAGGAAGGAAGGAAGGAAGGAAGGAAGGAAGGAAGGAAGGAAGGAAAAGAGAGAGAAAGGAAGGAAGAGAGGGAAGAGGGAGGGAGGGAGGGAGGGAGGAAGGAAGGAAGGAAGGAAGGAAGGAAGGAAGGAAGGAAGGAAGGAAGGAAGGAGAAAACTACATAGCCCAGGCTGGCCTCTACCTCACATCCTTGTACTTGGATTAAAACTACATGCCATGCCGGGCTCATTCTGGGCATTTTCTACGTTTTCCTCTAATTAAATAGCATCCTAGAGACCAGGATGCTATTTAATTAAATAGCACCATATAGCTTGAGGTAAAGACAACTTGGAGTGGGTCCCATATCAAACATAGGTAATCCCAGCCCTGGAAAAGGTTGAGACCAGGTTAAGTAACAAGGTCTTGTCTGAAAATAAAAAGGTCCTGAGCTAAGAACACTCAGTGGCAGAGCACTGAACAGCATATGTGAGGTAACACCTCCATCCCATCGTCGGCACTACTAAAAACCAAGAAAAAATGCAGTGCCTAAAAGAAGTTAAACTTTTAAACTGACTTACTTGCTCATTGTCTGTAGTGACTCATCAAACTACTCTTTGGTAACTAGGTCCAGGCTCTTAATACCTCTACCATTTTTCAGGCAGAGAACTATAGCATCTGGCACTTAGAACCCAAATTCACCATTACCTCTAACTCTTGAGGAAGGGGGCTGGGTCCTGGTAAGGAGGTGGCCAAACTTTCCTCAGTGCTAAAAACTTGAGGCTCTTGAGGTTCCTCTGTATACCCATCCCACAAAGATGGACTCCTACTCACCGGGCCTCCTGCTAAAGCTCTCGCAGCACGCAGCTGCTCCTCTGGCCCCCGATCTTGAAAGGAAGCTCTGTAGATCTCTGCAGTTTTAATGTTGACAGCTGCAAGGGACAAGGATCCAAAACAGACTACATTCCCACCACTACACATAAGAGCCAGACACAGCTGGGCACGGTGGCACATGCTTGTAAGCCCAGCACTCCAGGAGATAGAAGCAGGTGGATACTTGAGTTCAAGACAAGCCTGGTGTATAAACTGAGTCCAGGACAGCCAAGGCAACACAGAGAAACCATGTCTCAAGGAGAGAGAAAAAAAAAAAAAAGCTGGAAACAAAAGATTGGAATCTGGAGAAAGAGGCTGAGATGCTGACAGCCTCTGTACCAACACAGGAGGAAGAACAAAGAAGGGCCTGTATGTTCACCACCCAGCTAGCTAAACATGGGCACACCAGAAGGCAGCTGCAATTTGCTAGTCTTGGAAAGAGGACACTAGGCTTCCTTCAATCCAGCAGTTCTGCACTCTTTATTCTAAATCAAAACCTTACTTTATTTTCAGAGTATACAGAGACCCAGATATCTCATACCTTCCCCCATGAACACTAGACAAAAACATGCCAGACCACCCACCCACCCTGTGACACTTAACTGTAGGAGTGGGTGTGGGGTGGGCAGAACGTATGCTGTACACCGGCATTAACAAGCTCACAGCCAAAGGTTAACTACATCAGGCCCTTGCCCAGGTTTTCACAATAAATACATATAGATAGGAGCAAGGAAGGATCCAAACCCACCAACAGATGGAATGACTTCAACCTGAGACAGCCTGCTATACTATCCCTTGTGGAAACCATACAGCCCTCTAATACAAACCCTACTTACCAATGCCATAAATGATTGGAAAGTGGTTTTCATTTTCTTCCCGGTCATTTAATTCTAAGAAATGAAGGGAAGTAGAAGCACTGAACAGTTGTTCTTGTTCCACATGACGGAAAAACTCAGGCAGTGTATAGTCCCAGGTAGTCCACTGGCTGGCCTTGCCTCTGGCCACACCCTCCCCTTCCAGGCTGCAGAGAAGCCTCCAACAGCCTGAAAGCCATTCACCAGGGCCTATTTGTAGGAGCAGCATGAACACCCAATTTATCTGGGTAGAACCTGTGGCAAGAAGGCTACCTAGTTTGATTATGAGCAGTGGAGACAAGTCATCGAATAGGTGACAGTCTCTGAGTGTCTTCTACAATTCCTGTCTTGATGGGAGCTGTTAAAAGGATACAGACAAAACCTTC